ACAGCTCAAGATCATTCTAAAGGTATTCAGGAAAGGTAAATTTCTGTCTCTTGAATGTAAATTCTTTAGGATCGATACTTCAAATTAGCATTTAGCTTCGATATGAGTATTTGTATCAATTAGTATCTGTTTTATAATACTTTTGACAATGTGTATATGTATGCACTTTAGTTTGAAGCATTATCTAAACTTGTTACTTGTTGAGCAAGGTTGAGCAGATTCCTTCCTTCTCTCCCTCTCAAACAAACTATCGAGTAAAAGTGATGGTAAGGATTCCATTTTTTGTCTATGATATATATATATATATATATATATATATATATATATATATATATATATATATATATATATATATATATATATATATATATATATATATATATATATATATATATATTATATATATATATATATATATATATATATATATATATATATATATATATATATATATATATATATATATATATACACACTGTAGTCTTTCCTCTCATAATACCAAACATCAAAATCTGTGATATGTCCACATTATAGAGAAAGGTCCTCATACACTGCAAAGACCTCTACTTTAAACTGTGGGGTGGTAGTTAATCAGTGCGGGCATGAGCACACACTTTGGTTCATTTGACCTTCAGGTTGTGGAACAGTCTGTGACTCTGTGTTCATTCTGTTATAAAACAAACAAAAGATTTTCACTGTAACTTGGGAGCTATAGATCCAGCTGCCTTAAAGGGTCCATATTACACTCTCTTCTGATCTTTGTTATAATGTTGTTTCCTCATCAAAAACAGACCTGGAGTTGTCCTTTGCTTCTTCACTCATGTTTAACACACAAATCCTGCATATTTAGGCTGAGTTCTTCTTTCAAACGGAAAACACTCTGTTCCACCTTGTGATGTCATGTGGTAATACATAAAGTGCTTCACCATACACCTTCACTAAAATCATTTAGATCATTTCAGCCCTGGAACTGCCAATCTCCACTAAACAAAAGATAAAAGGTAATGGTTAATTTGAAAACTACAGCTTTGTGACAGACTAATAATAATGGATTACATGCTTGAATGAAACAATTCCAGGTATGTTTTTGAGGTGGGAACAACATTCTGACATTGCTCACAATTTCCTGTAATATGGGACCTTTAAAACAATCGTTAGTTGCTCTACCTCCAACACACCCACACCACAGGCATTTGCTGCTGTCAGTTGGTTCAGATCAAATGAATAACTTCATTGGAAACCAAATTAAAAAGACAAAGGGTGATGTATTTTTAGTTGACAGCATGTCCAAACTTGTCAATATCAAGTCCATCATCAATATATTTACTGGGTACCTTGGCTACCTCCATTCCTGGTAGTTGGGTCATGTTTTTAATAGTGATGTCACAATACTAAAATTTCATGCTCTTGCACACTAAGGAATAGGCTTCATACTCAATACTGATTCTGATACATGATGTTAACAAAAAATGCTCTCTGTCTTTAGACAACATAAGTCATTATCAACATTAAATTATAGTCCTTTCTTTTATATTACCATCTGATCTTATATTTGTGCAAGTCCTCAATCGTCCATGTTCCGTAGTGGCCCATGCATTATTCTTCTTATACTAGTTCTGATACAGCTCAAGATCATTCTAAAGCCATACAGGAAAGATTCATTTCAGTCTTATGAATGTGACTTTTTTACTTGTTCAAATGAGAATCTATTTTCAATAGTTTCAATATTGATAAGTTCTGGTTTTCAATCATTTTCATTAGACTGAGTTTGAGTGGTAAGTTACTATGGGACTTTGTATATAAATATTTGAGGAGGAGCAGCCAAATCCGTGCCCAGCCTCTGCTCCTCACAGCCCCGTGTTTACAGAGGTCTGACAAGAGACACTCTACTCCCAGAGATACAGCTCACCAGAGGATCGGACATACTTTCAAATTGTGTGGTCTAATACCTTTTGGTCTCTGACTGTGCCAAGTTATTTAGTCAAACAAAAATACATATTTATTCTAATTATAATAATGCATTAGTCTTATATAGACATTTTCTAGATGCTCAAAGTTATTTAAAAATTCCGTGCATTATTCATTCACTTCACACCTGGTGATGACTACGATTGTGGTCACAGGTGCCCTGGGGAAAACTGCCAATCAGCGCCATCAAGCATACACCACTTTCAAGCTAGCTTTCTTGTGGAGGGTTTAGCACCTGCTCTGGAATGTTCCAAGCAATGGCATTCATTCAATTACAGTAAGTTTTTATTGTTCAAAAATACCATTAATTATCATCGCAGTAGTGGAATCGTAATTGAGCGTCTGTTCCTTAGACATCGAAATCGTGTTGAAATGTTGAAATGTAACACAATGTTACGACTGTACAAAGGGTTCCTCCTTCACAAACGTGATATCGCCCGCCGCACACAGAGCTTGTTTCCTTAACCACATCCTCCACCCCCCTCCGCCCCCCTCTCCCATCTGCCCGACTGTCCCCCTCTCAAACCGGGGTGAGGCAACAGCTGATCTTTCAGAGGGTTATTTTTAAACCCTCTTTTTGCCGATCAGGCCAAGTCATCATGGCAGGCATACCACTCTGTCACAGCCTCGCCAGCCGCTACCTGACCCTGTACTGTATGCTTTCTCCAAAAAAAAAAAAAAAGTGCAATTCAACCTTTTCACAGACTTCTCCTAACAAATTGGTTAAGATGTGTTTGTTAACTTGAAATCACTTAACAAAATGGACTAAATGTTTGTGAAGTCTTATGGGTCCTTAGTTGTCATTGCTACTTGACACTGTGAAAAACCAATGACCAGTACAAGACTAAGGAATGTGCTACTTCAAACCACAAAGTAAATAAGTCAGCAAATTAGCTTACAGGACACAACCACACAAGTAAATGTTTAGGGGCACACTTGTTTAAAGAGGATAGTTCATTCATTATGTAGACCAATTAAAGGTTTTATGTTACACACAATTGATTCCTGTGAGATTTAAGCCATGTTAGAATTTTGTTACCTCCTCAAAAACCATGCTTGAGTCTGTGTTTTGTTCCATTCACACATTGAGTAATACTTTATCATTAGTCTGTCTACATCTCCATGCTCAAAATGCTCTGTTCCACCGTGTGATGTCGTGTAGTTTTCAGATTAACAGATACCTTTTACATTTTGTTCAGCAGAGATTGGCAATTCCTGAGTTGAAATTAGCCAATGATTCTAGTGAAGGTGTATGGAGTTTAAAAACACAGTGCAGCTTAAAAAAACAGCGCAATATGAGCCCTTTAAATGCAGGGAACTCATCCCTCCTCAGATCAGGGTGAGATGCGTGTACAATGTCTGATGACAGCTCGAAAATGCAAATCGAGTGAAACATCCGGGTTGGCGAGCGGCAATGAACCAACTTCCTCTGCCGCAAGAGTCAGTTATTAGACGTCTAACCCCCAGAGCTACAGACCCACTGCTAAAATAAAAGCAATACTAATAACTAGGGGTGTGCAAAAATATCAAAATATCGATATACTGTATTGTTTAATGTGATGATACAGTATTGATATCGGGGAGTTTTGTATTGGTATATCGCCAGGAGTATTTTTGGTAGATTTTACTATATTATTTGTTACCCCGCTACAGTTTTGTTGCTTGTTTAGAGGAAAAAACTCATTTATGCAAGACATTTGACATTTTCCCAGTTTTGATCATAAAAATGGATATGATTTCTTATTCACTTTGCACAAAAACTGGTTTAAAAAAGACTTTTAGTATCACAGTCATGATTTAGCCTTTATTTTTTTATTGAACCATATCGAATCAATTTGAAATATATTGTATCGAATCGAAAGTGCACTGTATCAAGATATGTATCGTATCATGGCCTATGTATTGAGGTATATATCATATCGGCAATTTCTTACTGATACCCAGACTTAATAATAACAATAAATGTATCGTTTCATAGATTAGATTACCATTAAAGCTACACTATGCAACATTTCTGGCCTGCTTCTGCTACTTTTCTCTTTTAGTATGTTTTTCTTGCTCAGAATATGCCACGGTATGACATTAAACTCATCCATCTCACATTAATTCAATTAGTAATTTCAGTTGCTAAAGAACACCTTGTATCTGTATTAATCTGTAGTAATCTGTATTATTACTGTGGACAGACTCTCCTTTCCACAGATCTGACATGTGTCTCATGGAGACAAATAGGTTTACCACACTGTGAAAATCTCCATGGAGATAATTCAACAGATGTTCTACCACTGAAGCTGCTTCGTGCGCCTTACAAAATCATCTAAAACTACATAGAAATACAGTTACGGTACATCACAATTCATGAAAGACAGTAGGGAATACTTTTAAGCCTACTTGCTTTCCAATAACAACTAACTACAGTAGATTGTTGAGTAATCTAGTAATCTCCCCTCTCTTCAAATGATCCACCCAAATCCTCCATAGTCAGACACAGCATTATTCTTCTCCTCAAAACATTAATTTATCCCTGTCACAGCGAACAAGACCTGTCCCGACTTGACTCCAGTTGTGTAAAGTTTTAAGATGGTCCTAGACTGGCTGCAGGTTCACACATGATAGAGTAATATTACGCAGCAAAATACACGTCCAAGTCCTATATGACATCATGAAAGTATTCTGTCATAAATTGTTAGTAGTAGACATAGGCTAGTAATAATAGTATCCAACCATGATACAGCTACTATCAATAGTAGTGTCAATGAGTACACTACACTGTTTTAGTTCAACCATATTGTTTCATACTGAGATTAGGCCTATTTTAGTCTAGTCTCTTTTTCTTTTTTGCTGTAATCTAAAAAAGTCATTTATTCTATGACTTTTGTAGTATATAGACAACAAAAAAGTCAAAAAATAGTGTTCACAGCTGTCTTCAAAAGCAGTGGTTTTGGTGACAGGAAGAACTCTCTAAACAGTTACCATTCTCTTGCAAATCAAACATTTTTAAAGACATTTTTAGGAGTAAAAAGAGTTCTCACCTCTCGTGCGATGAGATTGAGAGCATCATCTTCTGCTGTGGTTTTATCCTTATTCGTGGACCTCTTGCGCCCTGCTCCTTGGGTCCCCATACTTTATAAAGAAAAATAAAACACGCGTAATTTTACCCAAGTCTATCCAAAAAGTTCGACTGTGTATCCAAGCGAAATAAGCGTCTTCGGCTGTGGTTATGCGCTTTTCTGTGCCATTTCAAAGTCGTGGGCACGTATAAAAACTATAGCGGCTTGTATTCACTGCATGGGTCATTGTCATACATCCGTTTCTGGCTTCTTCCTGTGTTAGTTGCGCTAAACTCCAAAAACACGTGTGTAGCCTCGGCGTTTCCGCGCAAAATCCGAACAATTTCTCAAGACGCGCTGTTACTCGTTCCCATTACAAGTAAAAATATGGGATTTGAAAGAAGGAAATAAGAAAATGAAGGGTTTTAAGTCCAATAAGTGAAGCGGTAGTGGTTTGGGGTTGGACAGCTGCGCTTTTTGCCACTTGAGGAGCGCGAACCAACGAGAGTCAAACCTGTCACTGAGCGACATCAAAGTCTGCAGTGACCAGGAGGCGTTCAGGAGACGTGAGAAAGTACAGCTCCGAAGTTAGCGTTTGTATAAAATGTGATAAAATACATAAATTAAGATTAAGAATTTTATTTTTATTTTATTTATTATTTATGTATTTATTTTGGGCAAGGAGAGATTTACATTCTTATACAATGGAACGTATAACATAAGTGAAATCATAATAGAAATGAAAATAAACAAGAGTGGGAAGAAGAAAATGTATTTAATCCCACCCCCAGTCTTTAAATCTAACACACTGAGCTATCTTTTGCATTTTTTAGGCATTTTTCATTAAACTATATGAACTATTTACAAATGCGGACAAAGAGCACCACTTTACGATTCCTCATAAAATTAAACATACTAAAAGAACAAGCAACTATTCACACACAAAAAAGTGAATAAAAATACCCACATTTTAGATTTATATAGGGAATTTTTTTTAAAAGAATAATAACCTATCAATCAGAAAGCTATATACTATATGAAATGTAATATTAAATGTAATATTTTTTACACGAGAAAAACAAATACACCTAGGCTAAATAGTGATTTTGACTGGTGTAATATTGTCAAACATGAGCTACTAATACAGTTTACGTATATTATTAATTTACTTTTCAGATATGAACTTTTGGTTATTTATAGCCTATATATAAAATGTCAGTCTGAACTAATATGCTAGGTGATCTTTTCAAGACAAGCAAGCCGATTACTGTAATGAGGCATAAGTATGATGCTCAAATTTCCGTGGTGTGCTTAAACGCAGCCAGAGCCCTGCTTTGGGACTCCATACTAGTTCAGGGTCCTGTTTCAGACCTCAGCTCGTGCGTCTGCCCCTCTCTCACAGCCCTCAGTCTATTTATAATGGTGACCAGAGACTCTAAAGCTGGCTGGCTCTCTTAAAGCGATACACAACAACACTAAAGATAATCAGATATAAAACTATTATGAAGATAAAATATGATAAACGCATTTTTATTGGGCTATCATAACATTTAATTTGTTTGCAATTCTACTAGATGATTTTAATAGCGCGTGTTTGAGTACAATAGTGACTGGAACCTACAGTAAAACTAATATTTGGACTTATAATCATACGTAAAGGTAATTTTGCCCAGAATGCATTCAATTTAATAAAAGCAGCGGTAGTTTTTGTATTTTGACATTACAGTGCTGCCCTCTTGCGGCCAGCCTTCATATTACAGCGACAACACAGCCCCGATAACATAATTTACATGAGCGGATACTGATTTATTTATTTATTTTTTAAAATAATTTTTAAATGACGAATAAACTTCATAATGCATGTATAAGTATGTGTATATATGTATATGTAGGTGTAATGTAATTGCAATTGTATTTGTCATGATTGTATATCTGTATGTCTTAAGTTTTGTCCTGTTTTTATTGTCTTTGCATGTTAGCATGTTGGTTAAATTAAAAACAAAAAAACAAAAAATTGATAACGGAACATATTTATTCTCTAGCTGAAAAATAAACACAACTGATTTGGACAAAACAATTTATTTATTTCGATCCAAGGTGTAATAGTTGTATGTAGTGTTGTATGTAATAAGATGACTCGTTGTGCTTAAATTGTCCATCGCGGCTACTGTAAAGTTTTATTAATTTATTGTATTTTTAAGTGAACTTACAATAATAAAATTTTAACCTTTGCTAACCTTTTGCTACATCTTTCTGCTGTGTTTTCTTGCCTGTACAACCTGGTTTAACTGGTCTTCAGTGCGCGCAAATATGGTAAGTAGGTTCCTCCTTGAAATGACAGGGCTTTTGCTGTTTAATGTGTCAACAAGGAAGTGAATCTAGTGATAACCTAGAATGACTGTGGACTTGTACTTTGGTTTCATTTTTATTTCTCAACAACAACGGGTAGCGCTATGCCAAAGGAAGACTTTTAGCTGATCACAAATAGAGACTTGACTATTTGGATCATTTGGATGTGGATGTACATTTTGGATGGAGTAAAATGTCCCAGAATGCAGCAGGAGAAGCAAAGAAGAGTGATCAGATTTTGAGGGTGAAGATGGTTCTTTTGGGGGGGTCTGGAGTGGGGAAGTCCAGTCTGGCCACGCGTTTCGTCAAAGGAGAGTTTAAGGACAGTGAACCCACCGTAGGCTGTGAGTGACAATGAATGTAACTTTGTGGTTTGTTTTTGTCACATGAGGAGCTGGATCTCTTATTTACTTTTGCTAACTACTTCATTTGAGCAGTAGCATTCAGTACAAATTGCTTGACAGAAAATGTGGTTAATTCTGGCGTAATTAAGTTTTTTTTTAGAAGTTGCACAACTAAGAAAAAAAAATCATGTGATGAGTAACTTGTGCAATACTGTACATATTTAGTTGTGCATGAAATTGTCACTTGTGGTTTTGTCTGATAAAGCGAGTATTGCAAGAGTTAAAGGTACTTTATTATGCAACATTGTGAGTTTTATGTTGTAATATAGTGTTGTTATCTTACCTGGAGTTGTGTTTTGTTTCATTCACACATGTTTAGGCCCTTTTTTATTAGTCTGTCTGTATCTCCAAAGCACAAAATGAAAGAAGCAAAACACAACTGGGTATGTTTCTAATGAGGAAACAACATGGATCAGAAAATAGAAAATAGATAAATTTAAAGCAAACCATGTCATATAGCACCTCAACCATGTCTAAATGTGAATACTTCTCTATGTAACTTTTCCAATAAAGGGACATGGTACTGAAAATGCATTAAACTTAAACATTAAACTCTCTACATCAGGGTTCTCCAACCTGTAGCTCGGGATCTACCAGTAGCTCTCCACCTTCTTCCAAGTAGCTCACCAAAGGATTTTGGAATTATACCATTGTGCTGAATCACAAAAATGTGGTTAACTACATACCCGTTACCATTTTAAGTATATAATATTGAAGCCCAACTTGTGCACTAATAAATTGACATTGTTTTATATTTTATAGGCATTTAATTGCACCCAAAGGCTCTCCCTCTTTGTTATAATTGTCTCAATTTCTTGTGGCCACTAAAATGAGTAGCTCTCTGGCATTTTTGTTTTGTAAAGGTAGCTCACTGGAGGAAAAAGGTTGGAGATCCCTACTCTACTCTATTTTGCATTTGTTCAACTCCACATTTTTGTCTTTTTTTGAAAACTTACTGAGATTGCCTCACTATAGATCTGACCTGTAACTTGGTCAGGTTGGGTCACCTACTTGTCTCTTGTGTGTAATGCCATACAAAGGCTGTGCAATTAATTGAATTTTGATAGTGATTTCAATTTGTGTGTCAATCGATCTCCTAAAACATATAATCGAGTAAAATTTTTTTAAAAGATTAAAATTTAACTACATTTATTTTGTTAAGTATATTTTTTTAAATATAAAGATTGTAGAACAGTTGGATATATAGTTTATTTTTTCTATGCCTTACTTATTCATTCATTCATTCATTATTATATATTATTTATTTTATGTTTATAAATCACAAAACTGCTCAAAGGTACATATTTGTAGCCTATATTTATTTTCAATTTGAAAGTTTTGCGTAAATAATTTTTTCCATAATCGAGCAGCCTTGTGCCATACTGTGAAACATTCCAGGTGAAGCAATAACATGTAGTGACGACAAGCAGCAGGCGCTCCACCAGAAAATGTACATAGTGCAACTTTAACAGAACCACAAAATGTACATGTGTTTTACTAGTGTCTTATTTGCAATTATTCTATTCATGGGTATTAGAATAATGAGAAGCTTGGACAGCGACCAAATATTATGTGTTTTGAAAGGGAAAACCCCTCAAAATGTGGCATATAACAGGAAGCTGAAACCCACAAACAGGCTTGCAGCACTTTATAACACTTTATTATGATGCAGTTGTATTTGCTCTTTGGTTTCTCTAGGTGCGTATCAGACCCATGTGGTGAGAGTGAACGGTGCCAATCTGCGCTTTGAGATCTGGGACACAGCGGGTCAAGAGAAGTACCACAGCGTCACCCCTTTGTACTACAGAGGGGCACATGCAGCTCTGGTGGTCTACGACATCAGCAAGAGGGTGAGGGAACTACTGTACTGTACTGTGTGTACTGTGTGTCAGCAAAAATACTAGGGCTGGAATATTTAGATACACAAAAGGAAAATTAAGATTCAGTCTAAAGTCATAGATCCAGGAGTAAGAAGTGGAAGAACTGCCAAAAGATCGCATGCATTTTATAACATGTTTGCGGAGGTTCAATCTCCTAGGTTACCACAGTTAAATGTGCACTTTGCCACTTTTCTGCCACCTGCTTGAAGATTTTATTGGTTTACCTTGAATGTTCCACAGTATGGCATTCAACTTTTCTATCTTTATGGAAACAAGTCCATGCTAAAGGGCAAATCTGTGGAGAAACAAGCCCACTCACAGTAAAAATGCAGGTAACATATGTAATTAAATAACACTAAATCAGCTTAATGCAATATTCTGGACATTTCCATGGAGACAAGCAGGTGCCGACCCCTCCCCCCACACCAGAAAAATTACATAGTGCACCTTTAAAAACACCTCATAGGGACAGAAAGACATTTAGTTCTATATCAGTTATAAGTAAATTGTTGATGCCTTTGTGATTTGTTGATTGCGACCAATTTCTATATCATGTAATCACTCTTTCATCCCATGTACAACTTGATTTCTTTAGACTTTTCTCAAGTCAAACATCAGCCTTGTTGGATTTGTTTTGTTTTAACCAGGACAGCTTCTTGCGTGCCCAGTTTTGGCTGAAGGAGCTGGAGAGACAGTACATCCCCGGCTCCACTGTGGTCTGGCTCGTGGGTAACAAAGCAGATCTGGCCCACAGCAGACAAGTCTCAGTTCAGGTACAGCACTCATGATACAGGCTCACACACTATAACATCGTCTGAATAAGTGAAATATGACAGGGGACTTGTGTCTTTTTCGGAGTTGTATTTTTATTGATAGATTTATGCATGTTTGAGTCATCCTGTATCATCCTGCATTTCAGGCTTGCATGCTTAGAAAATTCACTTCTCACCTACCCCCTATCTCTGCCCCCAGCTTTGTATATAGTTGACATTATTTTAAAAATTCAGACTCCAAGATGAATGTTGAGTTAAAAAAATGTCACATAGCAATTTTTCAACCATAAAAACACATAAATAAAATCTGTTGATTTCTACATTGAAATGCCAATGAAAAACAAACATAATATATCTTTAAACATATGGCCATTATAAACAAGTTATAATACAAGTACAAAAAGTACAAAAGTGTGTGCATTTCTCAGGAGGCCCAGAATCTGGCTGAAGACAGAGGTTTGGGCTTCATGGAAACATCTGCTCTGTCAGGGGACCATGTCAACCAACTGTTGATAACTGTGGGTAAGTATATAAATAATATTATAGTATTAAAAAAAAAAGCATTGGACTCTCAATGATGCTTTACAGTACATTATTCATTCACTTCATACTTGGTGGAAGTGAGGCTGCCAGTCTCACACAGTACATTGATTCACAACAGCTTTCAGTGAAGTAGAGCCTCTGCTGCTCCACTATAGCAGCAGATATTTCCAGTGGTTTCCCATCCAAGTACTAACCAGGCTCAACCCTGCCTACCCTCTGAGATCAGGCTTTGACAAGGTGGTTATAAAGTTATAACAAAACAAAAAAAATGCATTAATTCACATGCGATGTGTCTATACTAGACCCATTCATCCATCTATTGTCTGGGGCTTTATCCGCGACTGGGTCACCTCTCAAAGTCCATATATACGTTTATTTTAATGTGCATCTGTAACTCTCTGAAAGACTAAACCCAGGGAATAATCCACTGCCACCATCTTTCTTGTCACTGGAGGGCACCAAATACCACTTATTCTGATCTCTTTAAGTCTATTTAAATCTAATATTACTTTTTCCTGCAGCCTACCGCGTCCATGAACTGACCTGGGACCAGCGCAGTCTGTCTGAGTGGGAGGAGTTTCACACTGTGGACCTCCATAACAGAGGCTTCTTCAGCTTTTTACCCAACTGCTGTAACACTGGACCATAAATATATTTAGCCCTTAAGGACTTCACATTCATTTAGTTTATTTTGTAATGACATGTTTTTTTTTTCTAATTACAAAGCAAAGCAATGCAAAATGTAGTGTTTTTATGTCCCCGTACTTGTTGTGCACTTGGTTCTTCTTTGTGTTGTTGTAATGTGCTCTCCATACAAACTTTGACTGATTGCTATAAGATGAAAAGTGCAATTTTCACAATATTATTTCAGGTTTTTCAACATTTGATTCTGTCCATGATCTGAGATTTGTGAATGGATTATTTTAATATGGATACTCTTATCTGTAACTACATTCACAAATACAAATATATACGTATAGTGCATTGGATTTATATTCACTCAGTTTGGGGATGTAAACTTTTATAGCCACCATTGCCCTGGGGTAGACAGACAGAAACAAGGCTGCCAGTCTGCACCATCAGCACTAGTCATTTACAACTTTCACAGGCAAGTTAGGTGAAGTGTTTTGCCCTAGGACACAACAACAGTAGTCAGAGGTGGGTCTTGATATATATTGCATTATATATTTTGACTATGGACTGCAGTTCTTGCTGAATATAGTTTTTGTGTTTATTTCAAACATGTAAAAATAAATAATATATTTGATGCTGGTGGTCTTTTCTTCAAGCATATGGCACAGAAAAGAAAAAAGTCATTAAACAAACAGAATATAAACAAAAAAATACATGTTTGAAAAATGTAGGTGAACGTATATACTTCTCATTGTGAAGGCCAAAGATTAGAGTGTGTTTAATTTTCCTCAATCCTGCAACTGCTTTTTGTTTTTATTTATTGTACAATTTACAACCATCTCCTGCAAAGTTTATAACCTCTCCAGCCTTGCCAGTAGCTAAAAAAATCAGCCTTTTTCTCAAACTCAGAGCTATAAAGCTATCAAACTGCTTACTATAATATTTCATAGTCAACAATAGAGAAGCAATCTGCCAAGGAAATACTGCAAACACATTGAGAAGTGTCGCAAGTTTATTTGGTGAAATGCATTTTATGCTGTTAGTAAACAGAGTTTATACAGTTTATGCAGTACACTTAAAGGTGCACTGTGGAACTTTTCTGGTGGAGACTCTGCAGCTTGATTGTCTCCATGAAGATGTAACTGCTTTGCATGGAATGTTAAACAGTATGGCATTAAACGTACAGTATGTATTTCACATTTATTTAATTAGAGGTGGTTTGTTGATCAAAAATACATTGAAAAACATGTATTCCTACTGTGATTGGGTGTGCTCCACAGATCAGACTTGTTTGTCTGCATGAAGTTCAATGCCATACTGTGGAACATTACAGACAAATCAGTGAAAAGAAGTGGTGTGCCCTCTGTACAGTGCACCTTTGATAAACATTGTATGAATAAATATAGATGGGGTGTGATGCTAACTGTGGGGACTCCTCTGCCTGAAGCTCTTACTCAAATTCGACTTTATCAGAGCTTTATTTTAACACAATTTCTCCCACGTGACGTCACTACAAAGTATCAGTTGAGCTGTTGATGACATAGGCCTAATCATCACATATTCTGATCATTAATCATTAATTCATAATTTAAAAACATCTATGGATAACAACGTTTCTAATACATGTGCACGTTCATTTCTACTCAGATACATCTTACATCATTCTGAGTCATTCATGATTAAAACCAAGCTCCTGTGCCACAGCAGGGCAACTGTGGTTTGACTTGGTCTGATCCCACACCAAGATCAAAACCTTTGAAAATATTCAGAATTACCCCAATGTCATGGCGATGGTGTAAATCTCCTGAATGAAACACAGACATGTTTTACAGCAGATGCCGGGTAAATCTGCAAATAACATTCTCCAGACAGCTTTCACATTGGGTTTCATGTGTTGCTTTGTAGAGACAAAATAAAATCAAAAATAAAAAAGATAACATTACATTTGAACATGTGAATGAATTGAATGAATCAATTGAATGAATAGCTTTTTATGACAAGATATAACTACAAAATGGAAATGATTATTGAAACTGAGAATAACAATTGTAGTATCTCATATTTAAATATATATTAGTATAATGAACTCAATTTGGTTTTATTCCACTAATTATTGGTTAATGCACCCTTTATTCTTTAATGATAACAGATCAGTGTGGGAAAAGAAGCTACAAAATCACTGTTACTTCATCATAATATTACTCATATAGTAGAAGTCTAAAAAGGGCAACAAAAGGGGAACTACTACTCAAGTTACTGCCTGGGCATATCATTTTCAAAGGATAGACCTAACTTTCAAAAGTAGTGTCTGAAAGCTACAATTAGAAGTACTTTACTTAACTTAAAGGTAAATGTAACTGTTTGATGCATAGTTGAAGTTGGTCAGAACAAACCCTCTGATCTACAGTATGATGTCGCTCAATTTGTATGTACAGCTTAATGATTGATAAAGTCCAGTATTTACATCAACGTCACATGAAAACCTGCTTGTAAATGAAGTCCACTGATGCTTTGCTCAGTGAGAGAGCCAGTCCCTGTCAGCTGAGACAGAGGGTCTGTGGGCTCGCAGAAAAAACACATTTCTTCTCGTCACTCTTCGTCCGAATCGCCCGACCGGTCTGATGCCTCTTCCTGTGTACCACGCTTTGATATCTGGATCTAAACATCAATAAAAAATACTTATTAAATGCAGTGTATAATTAATTCGATCTTCAGTCACACACTCATTTTTACATGTTTACAGACAGAGGAAGGACACAAAACAAGCACAAAACTACCTTTGTGCAGTGGGCAAAAGTCTTTACCAAATCACCAAGACTTAAAGGGCCTATATTATTTTCTGTTTTATATTATAATGTTGCTTCCTCACCAAAAACAGACCTGAAGTTGTGTTTTGTTTCTTTGCTTTGTTTCACTTTTCCATTCCATACACCTTCACTAGAGCCATTTGATTGATTGCAGCCCTGGAATTACCAGTCTCTACTAAAGGTAAAAGGAGCTGTTAACTTTAAACCACTGCTTCAAGACATCACAAGGTGGAACATTTTGAGCTTTGGAGACAACATTCCAACATGGCTTAAAGTAAAAAAAAAATCTATTTTGTGTAATATAGAAACTCTAAAGTTGCGCTATTTAACTTTTGTAACATAAACATGTCTTACCTCTGATAGTCATGGCTGCTCCCGGATGAGATGAACTGAGAGTTTGAGTCAGCATCAGTATGAGAGCTAAGACCACAGCAAACACACGCATCTCAGTTTCACCTGAGATAAAACACAGTGAATTTTTTTATTTAGTATTGTAAAAACTCCACAAAGCAAAACACAACTGAGAGGCTGAGCTCACCCTAATGGTTTTGACCTGATGGTTTAGGTGTGGTCTAGTCCAGGTTTAGTCCTAGTTTAGTCCTAGTTTACTCCCAATTTTATGTGGTGTATACAAGTGTGAATTCAAGTGTCACAAAATCATTTGATATTGAAAAAAGAAAAGTTTTATAATGGACCCTATACATTTACACAATAATACATTATATGGCATTTAAAGGGCCCATATCACGCTGTTTTCTGATCTGTGCTATAAAGTTGTAGTTAATTTGACAATGACATCACAAGGTAAAACAAAGCATTTTGGAGATGTAGACAGACTAATTATAAAGAATTACTTAAACATGTGTGAATGAAACTCAACTCCAGTTTTGTTTTTGATGAGGCAACATTATAACATGGCTTAAAACTCACAAGAGTCAGTTTTTGTATAACTGAATATATAGTATAAAATAGTAAAACAAAAAATACTTACCTGGAGAAAATGGAGACTTAAGCACAAAATGAATGTTCCTTCAAGTAGAACTAGAAAAACAAAATAATACATTTAAAAATAATTATGCTCAAATATATGAATTTAAAATAATCATTAATTGAAATAGTATATCATTCAAGAGCTTCTTACCTGTAGTCTATTGTTCTGGCGAGGTTTGTCTCAGTGCCCGGCTTTTATTAGTGAAGGAGGAGCATCAATTTGTCAGGCTGATGTCACTGATTCATTTTCATGCATTTCTATTTACACATCTTTTAAATCAGAAAGTGCATTCACGTCAATATGCAGTCAGTAATATACATGCCGGTTGATCAGGCTGGGGCATAAAGACACCAATAACACTTCAAGAATGAAAATGTGTCATTCATTTTATATTTGCCGACTGCAGTAATAAGATGTTCCAGTATGCTATAGATGTCGTCATATTTCTATACACATACTTTAACTTCATTTATCAACACAACACAACATATAGATACACGCTATTGTTAGTTCGGCTAATAAAGTTTATTGTTCATTGCATACTTAATCATGGATGAAATATTCTGCAGTGAGTCATGCTGGGGGTGTTCTACATGTACTTCTATGGTGACATGTTTCTGTAGTTACCACGGTGACACTATACACATATTAAAACTTTTTTGCTTTAAGATACAAAATGGATTTAAACAACAGGAGATTGATTTTAAAAAAAAAAAAAAAAAAAAAAAAAAAAAAACGACAGTGACTAACTAAAAAAAAAAAAAAAAAGTGTTACATTAAAGATCAGCTTAACAAGTTTCAGACAGAGTACTGCTTCCAGTTAGCATCACACCCCCAGGGTACGTTGACGACATCAGATGCAAAGTATCAATAAAGAGAAAAAAAAAAAGAACAGATTCAAAATATCAACAGTAATTTATATAGCAATTTATATACTTTTTGTACTTTAAATGTGCAATTCTGGTTCATGATGGAATGTTTAAATTATTTCAGATACACAAATGATTTAAAAGAGCTTTAAAATGTTAAACAGACAATTTTAAATAACCACTTCATGATAAAATGTTATAAGATGTATTTAAAATATACCTGCTTTAACCTGTATACCATTACTGAAATGCAGTACAAAGTAAAGTATCTCTTAAAGGGACAGTTCGGAATTTTGGACATAGGGCCTCTTTTTCTAGTGAGCCAGAGTGTTGGAGACGTGTGGAGACACTTTTTTAAAAAAATTCCTTCCAGTCCTTGTATTTGCAGAGGTCACTGGTGCTAGGCTAGTGCATGTCAATGGCCATAGTTAGCCTGCTACTAAAAACAGTCTTACCCACTCCACAAACAGTGTTGGGAAGGTTACTTTTAAAATGTATTCCCCTACAGATTACAGATTATATACTCCAAAATGTAGTTTGTAACGTAATCCACTAAATTACTTAAAGTGAGTAACGTAATCTGAATATTTTGGATTACTTGATATTGTCATGTTTTTTAAAACTACATGAATGTGCCAACCACATCCTGAAAATTCCTGTTTGTTCTCTTCAAATTGTCTGTTGAGTCCAAGTCTCCATGAACAGACTTTTGTTTGAAGAAAAGACCAGGATCTTAACATCAGATGTTTTATCTGCTAAAAGAAAAAAACAAAAACAAAAAACAAAAAACAAAAAAAAAACAGACTTTACTTAACCAGATTAAAAATATTATTGATAGAGAAATTATTTTTATATGAGATCACTGCTGCCTGGCTTAGTCCTGGTTTAGACCAGGTTTAGTCCTGGTTTAGTCCTGGTTTAGTCCTGGTTTTAGTTCTGGTTTAGTCCTGGTTTAGTCTTGGTTTTAGTCCTGCTTTAGTCCTGGTTTAGTCCTGCTTTAGTACTCGTTTTAGTCCTGGTTTAGTCCTGGTTTAGACCAGGTTTAGTCCTGGTTTAGTCCTGGTTTTAGTTCTGGTTTAGTCCTAGTTTAGTCCTGGTTTAGTTCTGGTTTAGACCGGGTTTAGTCCAGGTTTAGTCCTGGTTTTAGTCCTGGTTTAGTCCTGGTTTAGACCTGGTTTAGTCCTGGTTTAGTCCTGGTTTTAGTCCTGGTTTTAGTCCTGGTTTTAGTTCCTGGTTTGGACCGGGTCTGGTCCTGTTTTAGTCCTGGTTTTAGTCCTGGTTTTAGTCCTGGTTTTAGTCCTGGTTTAGTCCTGATTTTAGTCCTGGTTTTAGTCCTGGTTTAGTCCTGATTTTAGTCCTGGTTTTAGTCCTGGTTTAGTCCTGGTTTTAGTCCTGCTTTAATTTAGGTTTTTTGGTTTAGCCCAAAATGTGAAAACCATAAAATATCGCCGTGTAATCCATTTATTTCAACAAAGTAACTGTAATCCAATTACCACTCATGGAAACAGTAACTGTAACTGAATACAGTTACTCATAATTTGTACTCTGATTACGTAACTCCGGTACATGTAATCCATTACTCCCCAACACTGTCCACAAAGCACCCAAAGCAAATCTGTTATTACACCAGACTGTCAGTGTAAAAGTCTGTGTTTATAGAATAATGTTTGAAACAAAACATAACTTGTATCGCGTGAATCATCGCATTTTGAGGGACTATTTCCTCATATATCAGTCCATCTGCCAAGCTTTCTATCAGGAAGTACAACTTGCTGCTGCTGCTGCTCAGACATAAATCCTTCAAATGCAAGGCTGGTTTTACTTCTAAAATTATCCTATTGACACCGACATTCACATCGACAGTCTGGTGTAATAATAAATTTGCTTCGGGTGTTTTGTGGAGTAGGTAAGACTGTTTTTAGTGGCAGGCTAACTATGGCCATTGACATGCACTAGCCTAGCACCAGCGACCTCTGCAAATACAAGGACTGGATGATATATTTAAGAAAGTGTCTCCGCACGTCTCCAACACTCTGGCTCACTAGGAAATGAGGCCCTATGTCCAAAATTCCAAACTGTCCCTTTAACAGTAAAACATATTGCTATTACTGCTAAGCTGTTTCAAGCACGGATAATAGTTCATTAAGATAATATAACCTACAACTTGAGAGTACTCACAGCAATATTATTAGCAATATAAGTATTTACAAAGCCTTAATTAACACCCTAACCCATAATTTAGTACTAAGCCTACTTATGAGTATAGATGTATGCTGTGACTTTAGGTAATATCTGTTTAATTTGTGGTCAGTTGAAACCATATTTTTGACTATTTCCATCAACCTGCTCAGGGGCTACAGGGGTAAATTAGCATTCATTCTATAAGCAGGCAGCAGCATAATTCCTATGATTTTAGTCTTGGTTGATGTATTATTGCGCACTGCCCATGTGCAAATAAAAGCAAACCATACCATACCATTGTTCTTAATAAAGAATTTGCGTATTCATTATGTATTCAGTCTTTCTTCATGCTTCAAGGCTAATATAGTTTAGTTATTATAAAAACTGTATCTTCTCTTGTGTTTGTCACTGTATTCAATGTACCATTAAAAAAACACTAAAATTTTGTTCAGTTTTATGTCAACAGGCAACACAGGAAAATGTTCAGTTTGAGTCTAATTTGGTTGAAAATGTCTCCTTCTCCCGCATTCCTCTGAAATCCCTCTGGAAATGAGCTCCATCAAATCACACTGAGGCGGCGTCTTATGAGCCCTGTGTCATAACCGGCTTCTGTGAAGAGAGAGAGAGGAGAGGAGGGAGGAGGGGGGTAAAGGGACAGAGGGAGGGTGACAGATAGACAGAAGGAGAGAGAGGCGAGAGAAAATGGTTGAAGGAGTGGAGAGAGAGAAAAAGAAAGGCAGAGAGAAAAAACGAGAGGGTGGTGTTTCAGAAGGAGAGGGAGAGAAAGAGGGAGACAGAGAGAGTGGGTGGGTGGAAAAAGAGGGATAGTGGACAGCCAGTGAGAGTAAAAATGAAGTAGGAGAGAAGTAAGGAGAGAAAGAGGGTTAAAGGGAGAGATGGAGAGAGAATAAAGACAGACACAAAGGGAGAGGGAGGAAAGAGAGAAAGGAGGGAGGGAGAGAGATGGACAGACAATGATGAGAGAGAGAGAATCAATTAGACAATTTCCTTAAGAAGTGCATGACAAATTGCAAAGTAATAAATCACCCAAGCACAAATCATTGTCATTTAAAAGTAAAGAGAAATCAGACAAGCTTAAAGGTCCTATACTGCACCAAATTCACTCTTATTAACTTTAAATCATGTTGTTGATCATGCTGTTACCTCCTCAAAACCATACCTGCAGTTTGTGCTTAGTTTCATTCACACATGAGTAATCTGGCGTTATTAGTCGGTCTACATCGCCAAAGCTCAAAATGCTCTGTTCCACCTTGTGAAATTAAGTAGTGTTAGTGTTAGTTTTCACAGTAACAGCTACCTTTTATGAAATATATAATTTGTTCCATTAGATTTAGAATTTTAAATACCACTTAATTTCTCACTTTTTTAACTCTGAAAAAAGATGTTTGAATTATTTTTATTCTGAATTTTAGTTGCCAAAATTTTAAGTATACTTTTTCAATATGTTTTAAATTCAAAATTTTAAAAATTCACCTTTTAAATGTTCAGCACATATATTTTCAAGCCCTCAAATTCAACAGTCAAAATTCAGAGTGTATAATTCACAGTGAAAAATTTCTCCGCAAAGATTCATGATGCCAAGGCAAAAGCAATCGATCGATCATTTTTGAGTGAGGAGGACAGAGGCTCTTTCTCATCTGTGGGCAGGTTTACACTTAAGAAATAAAAGAGATGAGGTTTGGATGAGGCTAATTCTGACCAAGCAGTTTGGTTCATTGTACCATTTCCTGCTTGTTACTAAATTAGATCAGATCACTTTGGATCTATCATTTCTGCCTTGGCATCTTGGTTCTTTACCGTGATATTTTTCACTGCGAATTTGACACTCTGAATTTTGACTGTTGAATTTGAAGCCTTTGCTAAATATTTAAAAGGTGATTTTTTTTATATATTGAATTTTAAACACTTTGAAAATTTGCACTTAAAATTTCAGCAACTAAAATTCAGAATAAAAATAATTCAAGCATGTTTTATCAGAGTTAAAAACATTCAAAGTGAGAAATTCAATGGCATTTAAAATTCAAAATCAGATGAAAGAAATTATCTTCCATACCATTTGCCTTTTGATCACTAGAGAGTGGAAATTCCAGGGCTGAAATCTTCCGAATGACACTATTGAAGGTGTATAGAGTTTAAAAACACAAAAGAGCACTTCCTGTATTACGACATGACATCACAAGGTGAACAGAGTGTTTTCTGTTTGAGAGAAGATCTCTGCTTAAATATGCAGGGTTTCTGTGTTTAACAAGTGAATGAAACAAAAGACAACTCCAGGTATGTCTGTGATGAGGAAACAACATTATAACATAGATCAGAAAATAGTAGAATATAGGTCCTTTAAAATGCTTATTATTATTTTTCATTGTCTTAGTAAAGCATCTACATCTACAGAACTCACCAATTATAATGAAAGAACACACACAGATCAATGCAACAGCAACACTGCAAAAGGAGGAACTAATGAAAATACCAAGCAAACATCAAAGCTCACCTTCTCCATTTATAACAGCAAAATTGATTTTAATTTACTGTTCAATCATCATTTCTTGAGTAGCGCAGTTTTAAAGTCTTGAAAATGAGCTTTGATACTGAAGAATGAAACTAAACATTAAAATTAAAAAACAACTGTTTTACATCTAATCAATAAAAATAAAATGCAGGAGTCAGAGCACGTGATTGGACATAAGCATCACACGATCGCAAGCACTGAAAGCTAAGACAGCAAAGAAAAAGTTCACTGCCACCAACAAGTTTATATTCATGAAACAATTGCAATTGTAAATTTTGATTTGATGTTTTTTGTGTGTTGAGTTGATAAAATAAAACTAGTGGCAGTGAACTCTGAATTGGCACCAGCGCTGCAGGGGTCATACCGCACTCTTTGCCTGAGGTTGGGGTTTCTTGACTGGGCTTCTCTGAGTCAAAGAGCCCCTGTAGCAGCAGTTCCTCACAAATTTGTCGGTCTGGGCTGAAAATATACATTTGTGTTCTGTACTGAGATCTAAAGCACTGTTAACTGTAGTAAAACTATCATTTCCTTTCACTGATAATCCAATCATTACCTCCTTCTATCCCTCTGAAATACCACCAATAATCCCCATGAGGGGTGGGGGGGTGTAGTCAATATTTGTAGTAAGAATAATGTTACTTTAAAATATTAGTTAATATTAAAATATTAGTATTAGACTAAAAAAGTAATTTCATGTGTTGTACTTTGCCTTTTGACATGAGACTTTCCAACAGTGGGAAGAGTAACTAAAACTTAAAATTTTTTTTTAAAAGAAAATGACAAAATATTACTCAAGTAGAAGTAAAAGTAACATGTCAGGGAAAACCCTGTACAGTACATTTTTTTCAAAAGGTAACTGAAGTACTAAATGCAGCTGAGTACTACCCACTACTGACTTCATGTACTCTTTCAATACGCACTAAAACTCCATTCATTGGCCTTCCTATTGGCCTCCTGGTTTCCTGGCAGCTCTAAACAAAACTGGATTTCATAAGCACTGGATTCAACAGTCTGACATGCCTGCCTTTCCATCAATGATTTTCTATGAAGAATGACTTTTCTATTCATGAGGTTTCCATAAATAGATTCATATATCTGTGAAGCCACATATTTAATTACAGAACACTTCATCTACAACAATTCTTTTGCATTATATTGGTAATACAAACAGCAGTCTCTCTATAACATAAATAACTACTTAACAAATGTCCTCCATGCAGAGCCTTTCTAAACTATAAGGAGAAATTCAGTTAGACAACATATGAGCATCCTGTGTGAGCAACTGGTATGCCTTTGAGAATTTATGTGAACACATTTGGTTCAGTGTTAAATGCAGAAGCATGTGAGTGAGAGATGCATGTTCTGAGAGTCTAATGATGTTAAGATGTTTTGACTCTGGGACGTCTCAAACAGCTCACACAGAGTAGTGTCTTTAGTGATGCACTGCCTCTAGTGTCTCTAGTGTCTCTAGTGTCTCTAGTCATGCAGTGTCTCTAATGTCTCTAATGATGCAGTGTCTCCAGCGTCTCTAGTGATGCAGTGTCTTCTAGTGTCTCTAATGATGCAGTGTCTCTATTGTCTGTAATGATGCAGTGTCTCTAGTGATGCAGTGTCTCTAGTGTCTCTAATGATGCAGTGTCTCTATTGTCTGTAATGATGCAGTGTCTCTAGTGATGCAGTGTCTCTAGTGTCTCTAATGATGCAGTGTCTCTATTGTCTGTAATGATGCAGTGTCTCTAGTGATGCAGTGTCTCTAGTGTCTCTAATGATGCAGTGTCTCTATTGTCTGTAATGATGCAGTGTCTCCAGCATCTCTAGTGATGCAGTGTCTCTAGTGTCTCTTGTGATACAGTGTCTATAGTTTCTCTAGTGCAGTATCTTCAGTGCAGTGTGTCTTACTTGTGGGAAAGTTCTGGGACAGCCTGCGAGCCTGGATCGGGATTGCGGACTGGAGGAAGATCAAAAGAGGAAATGATTAAAAACACAAATTAAAGAAATACAGTGTTGGGAACAAATGAAGCATTGCCTTAAATGTTCCTGAGTATAGAAACCATAGAGAAGAGCATGAAAAACCATCAGGCCGAGATACAGTTCAGGTCTGCATAGAGGTGAGCTGTTTTTCATGTTGTAATTAACACAAAAATACTTAAGGCCATGCTATGGAACATTCAAAACAATCCCATTATATAAGCATGATATTTATACCTTCCTCCTTTTGTCTGTGGGCATTCCAGCAGCATTCAGAGCAGCAATCTTGTTTTCTATGTAGGAGACCTGCAAGTAAAATAAGTGTGTATTTGTAAACACACAAACATGTAGCTGCTTGTTTATTTTTTTGTAACTGTAACTGTAACTGTAGTATATGTTGTTACCTGACTCTGTGTGTTCTGGACATCAGCTGCTGCCTGAGCCACTTTGTCCTCGAGCTCAAACAGAAGAGCTGTGGAGCCTCTGAGCCGAGCCCTCTCCTCTGCAGACTTGTGGTCCAGGCTCTCAGAGGACTGGTTTATCTGCAGTCATAAAGGCACCAAGCACGTTAAAGAACATATGTAGTTTAATTATCAGTGGGTTTCTGAGCACTGAAAAACTAGCCCTAATGGCATAGCAAATAACAGCAATAACACAAAAATGTAATGGTAGAATAATCTAAAGTACTCAAAATGGAGCCTATGAAAATGAACAGGACATAATTGCATTGATTATGTTGGTCCACCTTCTAACTTGAAATTAGACGCGGACTTAATGAAACATAAAGCCAAATTACATGTGTGTGGGTAATTTTAAGTCATTACAATGCCTTACAAATGAGAAAAGTGTTTCTAATTTTGGATATAGAGATCCAAAAGTTCGACAAAGCAAGACCAAAGTGTGACTGTGCAGTTGAATAATTATAATGTTACAAGATAATCATCAAATTTCTCACCAGCTAAATTAAATTATCTATGGTAATGCAAAAAGTTAATTGAGGTGAAGGAACTGAACTTTCTAATGTAACCACTAGGTGTCCCCAAACCTTCTCCATTCATTTGTAAACCTCTTACAACTCCAATAACATTTTTAATCCATTTCAGTTAAAATACTTCCAGAAGAAAGTCCTAATGAAGGTTATGTAAACACTATAAAGTCTCATTCAATACTAAGCACAGCTACATTTGATATTAAGCAGAACAAAGACAGCTGCCCAATGACCTTTTTAACAACACTTGGACCGGCCTGAATCAAACAAGCCAAAGAAAGCATTTGGAGTTTAGGTTTTATCGAGTTATAAATTTTACGTTTATAGGAAAAGAGAAAAAATTTGTCTGAAAACGGAGCAGAGAGAGAAAAGGGAAAATAAACCCAAAGCTTGAGTTGAGTTGATTTACGAGAGCGACTGGTTTGAACACGGAGGACATAAAGAGTCAGAGGATTCTTTCATTGTGGGGGAATGTGCTAAGCTCCAGATGTGAGCCAGCAGTGGGTTAAAGCTAAGGCTAAGGCTAAAACTAAATCAGGGGTAATACTATGGATGCCTGTAGATAAATGACTTCGCTGTACAGAAGTATAAATATGAAAATGTGCTAAATTAGAAAGGACCATGATCTTATTAAACAGTATCTCTATCTACAATCAGGGCTCCAACGTTTTTTCACTGACAAAATTTTTAAAATTTTCCATGACTTTTTCATGACCTAAAGTGAATTTTCCATGACTTTACGGCACCCTACTTGTGTAGAATTGAGCATACTTTTAGGGCTAAATATGAAATCTTAAACCTTTCCACTCACCTTAGTTTGGTATTATAGTTTTTTAACATTCAAAATCCTGTCAGTGCATTTATTGTCGTTTCTTTTAAACAAAAGGCGCAGACGTCTAGAAATAATCGTAATAGCCTAATGAGAACTTAACAGAATGCTGTGGTTGCATGAAAGAAATACTAAAATTCGATGACTTTTCCAAAACTTTCATTGAATTTACAAAATTCCATGACACTTCAAGGCTTGGAAAATGACTATTTCAATTTCCATGACTTTTCCAGGATTTCCATGACCGTGGGAATCCTGTACAATAAATACCTACTTCTGTTTTCTTACGTGCTTGTTACATGTTCAATCTCTGTATGTGTTTCCACTACTTAACATCCCCTCTGGAGGCAAAGTGGAGAAGTATCCTGCCCAAGGACACAACAACAGTATGCATTACACCCAACCCTACTTAGCCTCTGAGATCAGACAATTAATTTGTGCAAAAAAATGCAGACAGCAAAGATAGTTGTAGTACGGTAGTCTTGTATAGTCTTGCGAGGAGTGTTGATATTCAGTCCAAGTTTAGACCTGTTTTTTGCTGGTTTGGTCCTGGTTTAGTTCTAGATCAGAACTAAATATATCATGGTTTAGGCCTGCTTTAGATACAGTGAATCTGATTAGATGTTCTTTTGATTTGAAAAGAGTACTGACTTGCATAACTGTAATGGCCCCCCTAAATTACCCTGGTGTCCTCCCCTTGCTGCTGCATGTTGTCTTCAGTCTTGGCCCCCACACTGACACTGCTGAGTCTGGAGGAGGGTCTGGTGGGGATCCTGCTGATGAAAGCCTCCCCCTGCAGAGGGCTTCTCCACACCGGGATGTCCAGGGACGACTGGGGGCGACTGATCTGGTTCTCTTCCTCCTTGTCCTCTTCCTCACTGACGCTGTGGTCACTGATGTTGTTGGTCATTTCACTCAGTTTCTGTCTGAGCTGTTGTTCTTCCAGTTCAACCTCCCAGTCGGGCAAAGGAGACACACTGCTGGGGGTCTGTGTCTGCAAAGAGAGCTGGAAAATGTGTATAAACATTGAGTACATGAATAAATAGCCAAAGCCCGGTACAAGGTTTTGGCACTCAGGTCTTCTACTTGCACCTAAATAATTAAATAAAGAACTTAATCAATGAGTAAATATGTGGCATGACATTCTCCTTCTCTTCCCTTTCTCCAAGTATTGCAGCTACTCTTTATCCATTTCTATCCTTCTTTGTCTCTTTCATTGTCCCTTCTATTTTTCTCCCCTCTCTCTCACTCTTCATTATCTCCTCTCCACTCTTGCCTCTTTCTTTCTCTCCTCTCTCCCTCTCTTCAATAGTTTCCTCTTATTTTTCGCTCACTACCCTCTCTCTTTCTCTCTTCTCACCTCTCTCTCTATTCTTTCTATTGCTATCCTCTCCAGTTTTCCCTTCTTCAATTTTTGCATCCCTCTCTCCATCACCCTCTTTCTTCTCTGCCTTCTCTTTACACCACTGTACATTTGTCTCTCTTCTCTCCTCTCTCTTCCTTCTGTACTCCCCCCTCTCTCACCCACTCTCACTCTCTCTTTCCCCATACCGCCCTTATCACCCTTATGGTATTCATATTTTGTTTTGTTTTTTAGTTTTTTTTAAATTACAATACAGTTATATAGGGGTTTCTCATGCAAGGATGTAATGCCAAATAAGTGATCAGTCATATGCACTCCACATATTAACGAAATAATACATTCCCACCGTTCACACTAGTCCATTATTTTAGAGAACTTCTCCAGATCATCTAATCTGAGCTCGTAGATTTGTATTGCGTGCCAAGTCCTTTTTCAATCTAACATGCAAAGAATCTTTAGCAAAACCAGTGCATTACAGAGTTCAATTAAAAACAAACATGTGGATGGGACAAGATGGGAGCTATTTATTAAATGATTATGTGAGCAATCAGACAGAGAGCTATTCCATTACTGAGACATTCCTTAAAGACTAAATAGGTAGTTGTGTTAGTATAACATTTGAAGGTGAGTGGGTGATAAAACTATTTGTGGTCATAAATGTTAAATTATTTCCTTTCAAGTTTTGTAAACAAACAGAACACTATAAAATGGTGAAAAATGATAAAACTACTTATTTAAAGGGCCCATATTAGTCAGATTAATGCTGTCTCCTCATCAGAAACATACTAGGAGTTTTGTTTAGTTTCATTCACACATGGTTTAACACAGAAATCTTACATATTTAGGCAGTTCTTCTCTCAAACAGAAAACACTCTGATCCACCTTGTGATATCATATGGTAATACAGGAGGTTCTCAACTGCATTTTTAAACTCCATACACCTTGACTTGAATCATTTGGATAATTTCAGGCCCGGAATTGTGTCTCTAGGTAAAAGGTAGTGTAGTAGCAAAATACATTTTCACATGTCCTTAAACTTATTAACTGTTATAATTATCTGGCCCCAGTTTCAGTCAGTACTTTTCCATTGAAACTAGCATTTCTCTCTGGTTGCATCCCCTCACTGTCCTGTGTGTATACTTTTGTATTGTCTGTATGCTGTATGTATTGCCCAGTGTGGGGCCCCAGTCTCTGTCTCTCCTTCTTCTATCTGATCTACTCTCTTATCTATTTGCTCTTTCTTTTGCAAGAGAATAAACCACACAAAGACAGTTGTTTGACCTGAGATCTCTAATTCGTTCTCACCCAGATATTTCCACAGTAGCTATTAACTTGAAAACTACCACTACATGACATTACAAGGTGGAATGGAGCATTTTGAGCTATGGAGATGTAGACAGACTAATGATAAAAGGTTACTTAAACATGTGTGAATGAAACAAAAACTAGAACAAAACACAACTCCAGATGTTTTTGAGGAGATGTCTTAATGCTCAGAAGAGTCAGTTTGTGTAATATAGGACCTTTAATAAACTAAGCACTGTACTATCTGTAATGTCTCTTGTATCTGTCTGTATCTTGTCAATTATTTATTTTGTGCAAAACATGACATTATCATCATATGTGAATACACCACCATGTTATAAACAGTAAGCAAGTAATAGTAAATAGAAATGTGTACACACAAGTCAATGATTTTATTGTTGTTATAAATGAATTAAATAGTATAGTGGCCAAGTTATAAATTTAAATCTGCTACCTCTGTCACATATTGATGCTTTTACAGATTTATTAAATTGTTTTGTTTTGTAAATTTCAAGCATATTTTCAGACATCCATATTATTGTATGAGAATCACAGAGTATTTGAACTCACCTGGTCAGGGGTGGAGGTGACTTTCTGCTCCAGTCGGTTCAGCAGAGACTCCACAGCCGACATGCGCCTGTTCAGGTCAGTGATCTGAGAGCAGACAGTTCATTTTGGTTAAATGTAAAATCACAATCAGAATTCCTAGTAGGCTTACAAGAAAAAATTATTCATGTGAGCTTTAAGTCATGTTAGAATGTTGTTACCTCTTCAAAAACATACCTGGAATTGTGTTTTATTTCATTCACACATTAAAGTGTGAATGAAACAAATCCTTTATATGGATATGTATACATATCCAAAGGTCAAAATGATCTGTTGATGTCATGTAGTGGTAGTTTTCAGGTTAACAGCTACCGTCTATCTTTAACTTTGACAATTCCAAGGCTGAAATAATCCAAATGATTCTAGTGAAGGTGAATGGAGTTTAAAAACACAGTGGAGCGCTTCCTGTATCACCACATGACATCAAAAGTGTCTTCTGTTTTAGAGTAGAACTCTGCCTAAATATGCAGGGTTTGTGTGTTAAACATGTAAGAATGAAACAAACACAACTTTGTGATGAGGAAACAACATAACATAGCTCTGAAAACAGCACAATATCTGCTATTTAAATATATATCGTTGTAAATTAATTAAATTAAAGACAGACTATTTTGTATAGATGCATAGAGCTGTTTAAAATTAAATACATGTTTCAAGTGATTAGAGAATTGCCCTTGAAGAATTGAAAAATGTAGTATCCTTTCTTGAAGCATTGACAAATGTTTACAATTTAAAGGGTTCATATTCCCTTATTATTATTTTGTGATCTATGTTACAATGTTGTTTCCTCATCAAAGAATATACCCGGAATTGTGTTATGTTTCATTCACACATATTTAACACTTCTCTCTCTTCTTCTCTTAAATGTAAAACACTCCACTTGAGGTGGAAATACAGGAAGTGCTCCATTGTATTTTTAAACTCTGCACACATCTTCACTATAATCATTTGGATGAGTTTAACCCTGGCATTGCCAATCTCTAATAAGTAAAAAATAGCAGTTAACTTGAAACTACCTCCACATGACATCCCAAGGTGGAACATAGTATTTTGAGCTCTGTAGATGTCAACAGACTAATAAACCAGGATTACTCAAACATGTGTAAATGAAATACAACTCCAGTTGTGTTGTTGATGAGGGAATGTATGGGTATGTTTTTGAGGAGATAACAGCATTATATCATGACTTAAAGGTCACAAGAGTCAAATTTGTGTAATATTGGACCTTTAATTCAAATTACATTGTTATTAAACTTTTCATTACAGTTTTCATATTTTAAAACATAGTAACAACAAATGATATCTGGTTTCAGTAGTGACAGTATATAGCCCTGTTGTTTCAGTCCCATCTGGTCTAGTGTTGATAAACCTCTTTTAGATCACATGTCATGGAGAATCAGCTTCACCGTTTGAACTCACTGCCTAACATGTTTCTATGGACCCTGGTCTAATCTTATACACGCTGCCATCTGAATGTGAGCTTATTTTGAAGCTGAAATCAAAGCTGGCATCAAAGTGAGTGTGATGGAAATGTATGGGACATAAGTCAGCAGGATCAGATGTAAGGGCATAGTTTTAATTGGAACATCAGTGGTGTACAGTTCCCAGAGCAGTTTGTTGTGGTTGAGCTGCAGGCTGAGAATTATAGAAAGTAATGTTAAGTGTTATATTATTGTGTACTACCCATTTTGCTGATGACCACATTTGTGGCTGAAAAGTTGATCTGAAGTGGTTAAATAAAGGTAAAAATTAAATAAACAAAAAAAAATGCTGCCCATTTGAAATAGTCACATTGTGTAATATTTTATAAGAGCTAAAAATGAAGATGTGGTTATTTGGTTTAAGGATACACTGATCTGATACTGAAAAATTTGCTTGGAAATTGGCTTCCAAATATCAGTTAGCCGATACCTTGGTTGGACATACAGCATAAATTGATAAGACTAAATACTGGTCATAGTCGACCCAGAAAGTCTCAAAATGTTTGAACTTGAACTTTTATACCTATGAGATAAATAACAGCTACATACTATAACACTTATGTCCTTTGTTAAACTTGTTTTAAGAAAATAAATCCTATATCAGTCTCTGCACTGGTTTTAGTTCATATTAGTATTAGCACTTAATGCTATAGTATCGAAATTGGTATTGGGCCTGAAAAAGATGGATCGATACATCCCTAATTTGGTTCAAAATGTAATTTGCCTTATGGCTTATAAAATCTGTTTTTCATAATTACTGTCTCATTCATCTGTTAATTTATTAAAGGTCCTATATTACGCAAAATTAACTCTTGTGAGCTTTTAACTCATCAAAAACATACATGGAGTTGTATTTTGTTTCATTCACACCTGTTTGAGTAACTTTTATTATTAGTTTGTCAACATCCCCAAAGCTTCAAAGCTCAAGCTCAAAATGCTTGAGATGTCATCAAGTGGTAGTAACAGCTATCTTTTCCCTTTAGTTCAGTAAATATATGCAATTCCAGGTCTGAAATTATCCATATGTTTCTAGTGAAGGTGTATGAACTTTAAAAACACAGCGGAACACTTCCTGTACTACCACATGACAGACATCACAAGCTGGAACAGAGTGTTTTCTGTTTGAGGGAAGATGCCTATATATGCAGGATTTATTTATGTATTAAGTGAATATGTGAATGAAACAAAACACAACTATGTTTATGATGAGGAAACAACATTATGACACAAATCAGGAAATGGTGTAATATGGGCCCTTTAAGGTCATAGGTAATTAAACTAGGATTTACTGAAAAAGGCAGACTGAAGAATGTAAGTATCTGTCTTGCCATCTTGTATGTAGTAAAAAGATGCAACCTTATGAAAAATGTTAAGCCTTCTAAAGAGACAAACCTTTGTTATCAAAAATATATTCAGCAGTGTCAACAACTTTTCAGACGTCACATTTAACAGTTGTTGTTTCACCTCTTCAATAGTCCAGGTGGGATTTTTCTGACCTAAATTCCTCTTTGTAAACAACATTCATTTCAATAAACTCACACCTGTCTGCTGACCCTGTCATGTTAAGGACTACATTTGCGGTTTTTAAGATTAGTTGAAGTCTTTCTCTGTGTCTGGGAATCCTGGGAATGGTGGGTTTAAAGAGAGATAAATGTTAAATGTCTACTTTAGGACCATTCAAAGGCCCTGTACTGTGTATTTGCCCCAGTACAGATATAGTGTATAAGCAGCTCTTGAATTCAAAATATGTCCACTGTGTACTGTCTGCAGTTAATTAGAAAGCTTTTTATTGTCCAATAACTAGGAAGTGTGCATTAGCATGCTAATAGTTGTTAGCTTCACCAACTGAAATTCTCCGCTCTAGTCTCTGAAAGTTGTGAAAAGCACTTATAAACTCATCAGGGTCATTTTAGGATGCTCAGAATGTGTAATGTGAGAAATAAGTTTTAAAACAGTAAAAATCAGGTAGAGCACCTTTACCTTCATGTCTCATAAGTCTGTAAAACAGTGCTGTGTAAACTGTGTACTTTAAAGCCACAGTATGTAACTTGATTGCATCTCCACAGCATGAGTCTTATTTGGCTTAAAGTAGGGCCTCCTCCTACTTATTTCCGTGGAAATGTTATTCTTTTGGCTTTCACAGTATGTTATAAACCTTATCTATCTCACTGAAGAATGTTTTGAAGTTTGGCTTTCTCCTTCCATTTCCATGGAATCTTGCAGATGATGTGCCTCCTTCAGAAAAATTACATGTTGTACTTTTAAATATATTTTAAATAAATATATTTTTTGCTGTTAGATTTGCCCAGAGTGGACATTGACAGTATCATAATCTTAGTGGTGGAACAAGTACTCAGTTTTGTAAAAGTACAGACACCAGAGCAAAAAATACAAGTATGAGTATTAAAGTACCTGTTTAAAAATGTATTAAAGAGTAAAAAGTAAAAGTATTTCGTGCATATTTTGTGATCTCGTAAAGCTTCAAATGTAGTGATTTTGATACAGATTTGTGCTGAACTTGTTCCATAGAAACAATTGCTCAAACTACAAATGTGTTAAAAAAAAAAAAAAGTAAAAGTAAAAAGTATCCACTTTATTACTTTTACTTGTTATGTTTCACCAGTGCGTAATGTAAAGCAATTATTTCAATAAAGTTCAACCATAGTCCACATATTTCTCATCTTAGCAGCAGCAGCATAATGGTAAACACAGTGTGTTTTTAATGAACAGTTGTTGTGATTCTTTGCAGCGCCTTCTGTGACTGGGGCACTTAAATAGAGCCTGATGTCATGTCATTAACCTTTCCAGCAAACGCAGCTGTCCCTAAGCATTGCTCCACACGTCAGACTGATAAACTTAGAAATAAACTGCAAGGCTTGCAACTGGAAAAACCCTGGCTCTGTTTACATCGAGATGCTGGGCGAGCTTAAGGGGACAAAATGATGAGTTAACACTTAGCAAGCTTGTTTATTATTGCAGCTCTTATCTGATGTTGCTAATAAACAGGACAGTCTTTCTAATAATGTACAGCACTGGCCAAAGTCAAAGGGTCAAGGTGCTGTGGGTTGAATTACATTTTACATGTTATTTAAAATGGCATTAAAGTCAGACCAGTCTATTATGCTTACAATATTGGCAATAGCAGAAATTTACAACATCAAAGCTCTTCTACACTTACATAAAACTACCGTATTTTTAGGACTATAAATTGCACTTTTTTCATGGTTTGGGTGGTCCTGTGACTTATACTCTTGTGCAACGTATGTATTAAAATTTTCAGTCTGACAGCCTCGAGAGGGTGCTCTAGGCTTGTGTGCCAGTATCTGCTACTATTACTCCTGTACCACTGTCACTTTGTGCTTTACTGCGCATGTCGGCTGCAGAAAGAGCAGCTGTCTTATCTGGGATCATGTCAGTCAATCGCACCATTACTTCTGTACCACTGAAAATTAAATATTTTAATAAACTTATAAAAACAACTGAGAAGACTGAACACAAATGCCCCCAAAAAGAAAATCATATTTTGCAGATTACAAGCTGCAAATAGTGAAATATGCAGTTGAAAATGGTAATCGAGCAGCAGAAAGAAAGTTTGGAGTGAGAGAAAAACTTGTAACACAGGGAGGGTGCACCGTGCAACTTTTCTGGAAGTCACTGGATGGATCGACAAAGCCTGGACTTCAGTGACAAACTCAGAAGTGACACAGAGGATGAAGAATTCAATGGATTTAGTGATTTGGAGTGAGATGGAGAGTTTGGTAAACTTGTTCTGTTCTGTTGTTTATGTTATAGTTTATCTGAAGAACTGTTCATATAATACGTTAACAGTCTGTTGTTCTCTGTTCTATTGTTATGACTATAACTTGCCTTTCAAGATGAAATATCAGTCCCTGGTCTCTGATTTTATAAAAAAAATTTCCCCCAAAAAGTGCGACTTACAGTCCAGTGTGACTTATATGTTTTTCTTCTTCATTATGCATTTTTTGAATAGTGCGATTTATACTCCGGAGAGATTTATAATCTGAAAAATACGGTATATGTTATGGGTTACATATGCCTTTTTGGACACTACAATGCAATTATTAAGTTCTGTACCTGATTTTTTATGGCTTTAGATGAGTTTATAAGAGCTTTTCATGACTTTCAGAGTGGAGTTTGCGTCACAGTAACACTAACAACAACTAGCAACTAGCAACAACTATGCTTTCAAAACTTTCAAATTATCCATGGGTTCAGTTCAGAGTGACAAAAACCTAGCAATGTAGCCCTGGTAATTAAATATACATATCTTTTGAATGGTGTTTAAAATGGAGCTTATAAACAGAAAGTTGAATAGGGCAGGTATACTACCTTGACCTTATAAATATATGAATCATAATGATTTGCTTATCTTCATTGGAGCTATGAACAAATTAGTCTTAAACACACTTTAGTTTTACTTTTTAAAAGTGAAAAATAGAAATAATTGCACCAGTGGCTGAAAACATATATTGTTCTGTCTGTATATGAGGTTTGGATATGAATGTAATGCTACTACAGATCTTATTCACTTTGGCCTTTCCCTGCAGGTGGTTACAGGTTATTTTCTACAGCTTAGTGTGCAGTGACTTGCATTTTGACTTGTCCTCTTTGACCCGACTCTCTCCAGTCAAATGAATGATACTTCCCATGCCTATATTTAGAGGGTATGGCATTTTGCAGTCAACTGCTCTGAGTGAAAGCAGAGTTCTCTACCTATTTCGGTCTTTATTATGTACAGTATAGCAGTTAATTAGTCAGATAAATAAAAAGAGTCATCTGAGGTTGCTAATTAATTTTACACTTTGTATCTTTAAACAGAAAAAGCAAAAGCAAATATTAATTAAAGTAAAAATGTTATTTTGAATTGATAAATCATCTTTGTGAAACATATATATTTTTAGTTTTCTATATTTATGTCCTGATCATAAACCATATAGCCTTTCAATTAGAGAATGTATTTAATTTATTCCTTTATTAAGTCTGAACTCTGCTCCAAACTGCATGTTTTTACTAACAAAGGACTGGCTGTGGACTGATTATTGATGATTAGAAATGACTGAATCTCTGTCTTACTTATTGGACTAACTGGACAGCCCTACATGTATCTAAATATAATTAAGAGAAGTATTAGTGCTAATATTCCCTACCACATGATTACAAAATCATGCTTTTAGGTCTTTGATATCTTTCTGTATTTTTTATACAGCCAAACATGATTACGCAATCAGATTTATTTATTTCAGTGGCCCATGTTATTATGATATTATTTTCTTTCTTTTTCCTCATAAGAATCCACATTTATTTTGATATGGACCGACCATGCATGTTCCTAATTCACCTGTCAATCATAGCCATCTGCTCAGGGCGATTCAGTGGTGACCAGACTCACATCTTTGGAAAGCATTGAAAAAGTGTGTATTCTGGATCCCAGGCAAATAGTATGCTTCAGCATGTTCAAATTTTGTCTCTTCTCAATTCTTTTATATTTTGCCAAAAAGAAAATGCTTTGAACTACAAAACCATATGCCATGATTGATATCAGAAAGCCAGTGGTGGGAATATATTTGGTAATGTGATTAAACTGTAACTCACTTTTTTATTGTGGGTGTGTATTCATAATGTGAATGAGATGGTTTGACAGAAAATAGTAAACACTTAAGTCTGATCTGGAACCACGAAGCACAACAAGATACTTAGCGGCAAAAGAAATCACAAGTGGATTTATGAAGACTGTAAAGCAAAAACCAGAGTGATGAATGAGTATGCGTGTGATAAATAATTTAAAATTGCATGTGACTGTATAGTGAGGGATTAGCTTCCTTTGTCTTCATGGAGATACCTTAGTTACCTAATTGCCTGGAACGTTGGCATTTTCTATTTTGCTTAAATCAGTTCCATTGTATGTATAGCATCATAAAGTGGCAGCATTGAATAAAATCTACTACTACTACTACTACTACTACTATTGCTACTACTACTACTCCATACCTGTGGTGGGTTGCTGGAGTGCAGGCTCTCCTGGGAGGTGTGGCTGTACAGGGCCTGGTGGCTCTGGTACAGGGGGAAGGTGTGGAAGTGTTCATCCTCCTCTGAGTCCTCTGCTCCGGGGAGAAACCTGGAGCTCCTGGGGCCCCCTGCACTCCCACTGCCACAGGATGAGTAACTGAGACGAGACACAGAGCGGGAAGGACCAGGGCCCTCTGAGAACACCAACTCATCTGAGGGGAACACAAGGAAAACAGATGAACTTTCTTAACTTAACTTACTTTTTTGCGGTGTATTATGCAAGATATTTAGGAGTACTTCCCATTCATCAGATTCTAAAATGTCATGATGTCATACTCAGACGGGGAACAAGATCCAGATTTCCCTATTGATTAGAATGCATTCTCATAACAGCTACCTAAAAGGCAAAGTCACTATTTGCAGCTGATGTCATCAACATTCTGGGGGTGTGAAGCTGACTGAAAGCACTACTCTAAATGAGACTTAATCTGAATTTCGTTCAGGGGGGAAGGGGTCCAGGTTTCCCTATTGATAATATTGCATTCACATAAGAGCTACCCAAAAGGCAAATTCACAAGTACACAACACTTATTATTTATGATTTAAATGACTAACTAGACCCAAGAACTTAAGATATCAGTACAAAAAAATCAGCAGTTTAACCAAATTCATTTTAGCTGCCCCCAATCTGTATTAAAGATTATTGGCCAATAGAATGTACCCTTAACTTGTGAAACTTACTTTTGATAATATATTGCAATTATATGTCTTTACCTTGATGCTGGCTGATTGCAGACTCCACCCCCTGGCTGTAGTCCAGACCTCCATTGTTGTAGTCCATTCTCTTCCCCATGTCACTCACACTGCCATTGGGACTGTGGGTCTGAAACAATGGACAGTAGAGTACTGGTGTTCAGTGGTACTAGTTGAGGATACAATATGACAGAAAAGGAAAGGTACTGATCTATTTAGAAAGTGAATTCCCTTTCCTATTATAATCATTACTACATATTATTTTTTACAGTGGTTGCCAGATTAAAGAATATAAAACAAATGGCACAAAGACTAATAAAGGAAACGTTTCAAAGATTCAGAATCAAATCAAGATTGAGATAAGGCAATGCATTTTGTAAAAGTAGAGATCATAATATTTAATGTTGAGATAGAAGCAACTGATGCACTGAAGAAAGTCCTACAGATTTAAAAGAACACCACACAGGTTTGTCCCTATACCTGATAATATCGTCCTCTGGATTCACTCAGATAGTCAAAGCCCAGGCCCAGTTCTATGGGGTCCACTGTGAGACGCCGCTTTGGCTTTTTCATCTTTAGCAACAGGAGAAAGAAGAAGAAGAAAGAACCCATCACCAAGAGGAACAAATCATAAGCCCCATTCATTCAAAATTCACAGTAAATTGTTGGGTACAAAATGCCAGAACACCCAGTAATGACCCCCCATTCAATTAAATGAGAATGGAACATAACCACACAGAGTAATTAGAAAACCGTGCTGGTAACAAACAAAGTCAAGCCTGTAATCATGATAACCAAATCGTGGTACCATAGACTGTATAAAGAAGTGGACTAAGGGAGTGTCACCCATGCAGCAAACAAGTGAGGCATGTACATTTATAAATTTATACAGTCTATAAGTGGTAGTGGCAAATTTCTGGCTTTATTCACACATAAGCCTGCATAAAATCATTTAAAACATAAGACAGAGAAAGCCATAAAAGCTTTAATTTTATAAATGTCTGGACATCCTTTGGATAAATAACTGTTAGAACTACTGTGGTAATGGCAAGTTGTGCCTCTCTATAGATACCAAAGAACACAGACATACCACCAGAGGGCACTGTGAATACAGACAGGCTTTCCCTCTTTGGCATGTGTTGCTTAGTTTTCTCACCTGTATTCTTCACATTATAAAAACATGAAAATCTTATTCTGGAGTTTCAAATACAAAAATGTCCAAAATGGAAAATATACTTTCCTTTTTGCAGTCAGCAGCACAAACTGAAAATTGGACTGATATGTTTCACAGTGGTTTTAAACTATAGCAGTCTATATAGCAGTTTTCTGATAGATTCCAGTGGATTGTATGGACATTTTACAAGACTTGGACTAGAGCCTTTTAACTGTTTGATTGAGCATGACAGTCTGGAATGTACCCACAATACACTGCGGTCTGAGCTGGTTTGAATGTGCATAACCTTAGTCATAACCAGCTGTCTGAGCAGAGGTCGGACTAGATCATATGGGAACAGTACAAACATTCAAATATAAGGACAAAAGTTAAACACATACATATTTTTTAGAAGTAATTTGGCAAAAACTAGCACATAGTGGTATTTCTTAGCTTGAGTCCAAGTATTCTGAACAAGAGGGAGTAGGGTGGGAAGGGGATAGTGCTCTTTAATGTCATTATAATGTTTAATCATGAAATAATTGTACTAATGATGTGCATTGTTTTATGCTATATTATGTATTCTGTGTTTTCTATGTCTCAGAGATGAAAATTAGCTTTGAGATCTATAGCCTAAACGAAACAATATGAAATAAAGATGCAACATTCAATAGCTACATTTTGTATTTTGGTAATAATATCATTAATATATTATTATACTTTTTGACACAGTACATTTAGGAAAATAAAAATGTGCATGCCATAATTTACGAGTTAAACACTGAAAACAAAAATGTATACTAAGATCAAACAGCTAAAGTAAGAAAATTATGAACTATTTCTGCCTTTTCTTTAACTTAAGAATACAAAAAAATATATGTTTCCTCTCATAAGAACAGCTTTGTAAACTTAGTGCTGAATGCTTATTTTCAAGCAACATCATTTATTGCGTCTGCCAATATTTCATCCATTTTCTTCCGCTTTTCCGGGGGGTCTGCCAATATTGCGATGTTGATATTTGCTACATCAAAAGGTGTCAATACTTTGCAGTGACATCACGCTGGCGATGTTCTACATGTATCTGTATGGTGGAATAGCTACTATTAAAACACAATGCACACATTAGCAAACACTGTCAAAAAAGTTTTAAGAAAATCTGAAAATTAAAAGTGGATCTAACTGAAAAACTGCTGGCTAGCCTGTGACAGTAATTTTATGTGCGAGAAACTTGTTTAACAGCACAAACCGTCTCACCTGATGTAGGTCCAACTACATCAGTTCTTTCTGATTAGACTGTGTTAAAACAAAACTCAAATTAAAGTAAAACAACAGAGCTTCAGACAGAGCAGTGCCTACAGTTAGCATCACACCCCAAGGAAATGTTGATGACATCTGCTGCAAAGTATCAGTAGTACAACTGTTGCTAACAAAGCTTCTTGTTTTGGTACCAAAATGTTTTCTGCAAGATGTTAACACCTAAAAGTCCCAACTGGTTCAGTCTGGTTTGAAGCACTAGCAGCAGGACAACCTGTACACAAAAAACCCAAAGAGGTTTGACTCACCTCTTTGTAGTGGTGTCCATCTGATTGATCAGTGCTGTTGTCCTCAAATCCACTTGCTACACAAAAAAAAAGACAAGTTTTTATTTAGATTTGTTTATATACGAGGGTCTAGTGTTTGGTTGAAGGGCACAACAACTGCATGTAGTCCTTAGGGATCTATCGCCCATCTCTAGTAGGGCTAGTTAACCTTCATGTTAGAAGTTAAACTGTAGAGACGGTATTCCTTTACCTGGAATGTTCCACAGTATGGCATTAAACCTATCAGTCTTACATTACACAACTACATGTGTTACTCAGTTACCTTGAAAAACATGTATTCCAAGTGTGAGTGGGGTCACCTTTCCACAGATCTTGCATGTAACTTGGTGTGATCAAGTTAGAGGAAGTTAAAAACTACACAGTGGAACAAGTCCCTCTGTATTAGTGTAGAATAACTGAGATAAAACTGATGATGTTGTATAGGGTCCTGATAAATTCATGATACTATCGTTGCTATACTGGCCACCTTTCTTTTAGTCAGTGGAAACACATAAATAAATAGCACTGCATTCACTAATGAACAAAACAAACAATGGGCATTCTTTTCACAATCCTTCTTTCCCAGAAGATTTTTCCACACGACAAATCAGTCTTAAGACTTCACAGATGTAGACTCAACTTTACCAGAAAATGTTATTGCAGCATTAACGACTTTAATTAAACTTTAAACCAGGTATTTAACTCTCCTGGATGTACCGGGTTTAACAAAGGCCAAAACACTGATTGTACTGGGACAATGTAAACCCTTCAAGTCATTCCCAACTAAAATATTATTATAAAAAATCTGGTGCTAATTACCAATAATATTTGATTTTGTGAATAAAAGCATAATATATCGAATTTGAATGTGTGAAATCAAAATATAAAGTTTGCAGTTACAGACCACCCACACAAAGGGTTTATCCACAGGGAGGTCCCACCGGCAACAACTATTAAGAATGAGTCATGAGTGCAAGGCCCTCCAAGCCACTGAACCTCAACTACTGTTTGATGTAAGGGAGGAAAGTACAACTAAGCATGTACTTTTATGTTTTAGCTTTAGAAACAGATAATTAACAATTGGATTTTACATCGTAAAATTTATTAAATGATTATAAAAAGTGGTTCAGGTGTGGTTCATTTTTTTAATATCTAGGGGTTTTAATTATTTTGAAAGTATACTATTTATGTGCAGCAGAATAAACATCAAATTACAAAAAGAGAATATTTAGAGTAACTGTATTTAATACTATTTATAATAACTATACCTTATTAGCCTTAAAAAAGCATGAAGCCATTCATTCACTCAACGTCATGGAACATTTATAAATGTTTCAGGCATAGTAATTACTTCATTAACGGGGACAGTGGTATCAAAACCTTTTTCATCAAGAGCTGTATATTGAAACACAGATGAAGCTGAGGGCCGATTCAGAGCCAGACTGATGGCCAATACAAAATGAGAAAAAGACCATGCTTAGATCCTCAAAAGTTTGAGGAAATCAAATGTTTGTTTGAAATCAAATGCATTTACTGAGGATGGGCTATGGACCTCTCCATCAATAGACCCTAATGATTAGGAATGATATTATTTGCACAACCATTATTAAAAGCTACACAAGTTTATTTAATAAATTATAAGATCTTCACACAAATACTATCGTATGACTTTTGCTAAGTATTAAGCTCAATAAAAGAGAGATGAGTGACTTACTGTCTGGCATGCTCCTTGTGTCATAGTCACTGGGTCCTACAAAACACACACAAGTTAATAGGACTCATTTAATAACAGTGATCACAATACACATTTATTTATCAAATTACTGAAATGTCAGAAGACAATTCAGTTCTAACAAAATCTAAGATAGCAAAGTAGGGAACTGAAGTTTGCTATTATTGTTGCATAACATTAGCAGCCAAATTCATCTTAAGAAGTTGCGTCTCCACAACACTGACAATCATAGACATATGTACCTTTGTTCTTATGCCCTCATGCACCATGAAAAGTACAAACTAAATAGAAAATGTGAAGGTAAACCTCTAAGGAAACCAAATATTGATGGAGTGATTGTTGGTATTGTAGATGTGTGCTGCATTTTAGTACAGATTGATAAATCCTAATTCTTTAATAATGAAGGTGCATGGAGTTTAAAAAAACACAGTGGAACATTTCCTGTATTACCAGATGACATCACAAGGTGGAACAAACTGTTTTCTGTTTAAGAACTCGGCCTAAATATGCACGAGTTATGTTTTAAACATGTATGAATGAAAAGGGGATTGCACTAACACAACTCGGAGTGCATTTTGATGCAGAAACAATGTTATAACAAAGATCTGAAAATCACATAATATGGGCCCTTTAATATAGAAAAATATATAAATATACACATCTATAACAGCTATGGTCTAAAATAGGTACTTTTCCTTTTATAACATTAGGAATCACAAAATAAAATCAGTGAAATCAGATCAAGAATTAGCCTGTAAAACGAGTTGATTCTCTGCAGTCAGCATCCTCCTGTAATTGAGTTAGTGTGTTTTTCCTATTGGCCTGTCTGCATATAAAGCCTGTGTTGTTTTTATGGAGCCCTGGCTGTGGACACTGTGGATGACACCAGTGGATCTTTAGGGGCCTGGCGGACCACTGCTCCACTTTACTGAGCCAGAGAAAGAATGTGAGAGGGAAGTCATGCATGTCCTGCTTAATCCACACATCACATGCAACACTCAAGACTGAAAACCAACTGATTCTGCTGCCATTAATACTCATGACATAATTTTCAAATTCTATTATTGCTACATTTCTCATATGTTTGTTTTCAGACTTAAAGGTACACTACATAATTTTTCTGTTGGACAGCCTGCAATCTGCCTATATCTGCTTGACACCTGCTTATCTCCATGGAGATAAGCAGGTGGTGCCACCAGGCCAAATGACACTGTAAGATGTACTGTATGTTTTTTGCAATGACAAATTATAATTATTTAATGCCATATCATGGTTAAAGTTATTGCCTGTGTTTGCTAAAGTGTGCATTGTGTCACCATGGTAACTAACATTCCACCAATTGAGATATATTTAGAACACCACCAGAGAGATGTCACTGCAAAGTATCAATAGCACTAGGCTCTAAAAATGATTTATCTGGCATATCCTCCACCCCACATGGGAAAGTTTACTGAATACAGGAAATGTAATTGACTATGTTATTTCCAGTCCTAACTCTGTAGACATGTGACTAGCTCTCACACGCCTGCTCACCTCTGCTCTCTCAACTCCGTATCTCAGAATCCACAAGGGTGATGCAGCATAAACAACTCTTCAAAGTCTGATGATCTATGGATGTCATGATCTCATTTGGTTTAACTGAGAAAGTCTGTTGAAGTCACATGTTTGATTCGATCCAGTGTAAACAAGGTTGACCCAACACATCATAAACTGAATTATAACCACTTCACCTCCACACGGTATCAACACAGAATCTCTAACCTTTTCTCAACTTCAGAGACATCTGTGTTCACATGGGAAGAATGCACAGGTATAGAGAGTGTAGTGAATCTGCTTGGCCTGTAGGAGTGCTGTAAACAAAATTGGGGCAAATAGTACAGTTTGCCAGACCTTAAAAGAGGGGGTATTACTTCTATACTTCTACAGGGTAACATATTTAGATCCCTGTGTTACCTTGTATTATTTTGAAAATGATATATTCACCAAAAACAATATAAATGTATAAATAAATAAGTCACTTTCTCTCCACTACGCACTGCCCTGTCAGAGAGGCATTGCGCTAAGGAAATTACTACACATCGCATCAGGTTTGTGAAGTTATAATGTCTTGTTTTGTATAATACTCCTGTATATTTATGAAAAACAGCCATGCAGGGACATGGATGGTGGGCTTGTGGGCTGAGAACTGGACAGAATCTAACCATAAGGAGGGTTCAAATAGGGCCCGGGAGAGATCACTAAATTACTGGAACATGCATGGATGACATCTTTAATTTCTTCAGGCATGTTTTTGATGATTGAACAACAATATAACATGGTACAAATCTCCTCTTCTTTAAGAAATATTCCTTAATTCTTAAAGGTGCACTGTGGAAGTTTTTTGATGGAAGACTTGCCTACTTGGTGTTGAAATGTTCCACAATATGGCATGAAACTTATTTATCCCCAGGGAGACAAGCAATTTATCCCATTAGGCCAAAATGATAAGACAGATTTGTGGAGAAGCGAGTTCATTCAAAGTATATTATTTTTCATGTTTTTAGCAATACCTGTAATTTATTAAATGCAAGATAGACAAGTTTAATGCCAGACTGTGGAACATTCAGTCAGAGCAATAACATCTCCATGGGGACAAAAGGTTGATCATTCACCAGGAAAATTACATGGTGCACCTTTTTACACAAATTCTATTCATACAGCTAGAAAATAGCTAAACAGTAGCAACAACTAGGAAGAATACACTAAGTCACATTTACTATAATTATTTTGATGCTTTTTGTAACTTTATTCCAACCAAATTAAAGTTCAAAGAACTTGACGCAGCTAAGAATTACACTTTGGCAAAAACAAGTTAACAATGTGACAGAGGCTAACCGGGGGAGTCAAAATGCAACTGAAATGTGTTATTCGCTAAACTTTTCCATTTACAAAATCCACAAAAACTGCATTTCAACACTTTCATAACTGAGGAAAATTATCCCATGACTAATGCATGAATTCCCATTAGGCTTGTCTCTGGTTCAACAGTCAGCTCAGGACAAGACTCTGGACATGACACAGCTGTTTGGGGACTAAAACTTCAACAAAAAAGAAAAGAGGAGATCTTCTGACAGATTTGGCACGGGTTTGTAGATGGAAAACTGTCAAAGAAAAGGAGGACATTTTAATCTTGTGACTTTGAATCATGAGAACACAGGCTCTCAAACAGATGGCAACAAACAGAGACAAATGAGAAAAAGCTGCGTTCATTTTTATAGAAGTCCAAGTTATAAGTGTGAAGGTTTTTGTCCATTTTTGTTTATACTTCTGTTCCAGTTAGTTGCAGTGAGGGATACCCAATTTTGTAGAATGGGTTTTGGGAAGCCCTTCTCTAAGAAATGTTCTTTGTTTGTAAATTTTACTGCATTTTTGTGAGTTTTAGAGGACGTTTTTTCGAAACTACTGCTCTTTTTTACTATGGTGATTGAAATGACAGTCTCTATTAATTTTTTTATCCAAATAATCCAGCAAAACAAAGTAAACAAAGTAAACAACAAAAAAAAAAAACATTAATTAATTAATGACATTTGGCCTCATTTCCCATGCGTTTTCCCTATTTGAAAAACACACTAATAATTTTCATAGGATTATCAGGTTTTCCAGGAGATTTCAAGGAAGTTTGGGGAACAGGTGTGATAATTGTAAAAAGAATTTTATGTGCAACCACTGTGCACAGCTTATCATCATTAACATATGAAAAAGAAAACAAAAAGAAAAGACCAAAATATGTGTTACTCTTAGCTGGGCAGTTTGCATCTAGCTAGTGGAGGATTGATCAACTCATCAGTGCTCATAAAAGGTTGAGTTATGGTATATGTCTCCTCTTATAGAATGGTGAGGTCAGGTTTGAAGATTTCCCAGCCAGTTAAAGCACTATCTGCTTCTGTTCAAAGTCTTTCATTTCTGGAGGATTTCTTGCGGTGATTTTGACGGACTTATAGCTCTGTGAGTTTGGCAGACTACACTGACCTGCAGCTCTTCCACAGGGCTTGTGAAAATCAGGAGCAAAACAGATGGAAATTTGTGAACATTTCTTAGTAAGAGAATGGGACTGTGAAATGTCACAAAACAAACAAAATACTAACACTGATAGAACTTAAAGAGCATCCATTACTTATCGAAATGTAAATGATTCAAAAAATCATATTTTTGTCATTTTGTAATTTAGTGTGATTTTATTCTATCCTTATTCTTTTGTTAAGTGTTAAAGGTCCTATACTAGGCAAAATTTACTATTGTGGGCTTTAAGACTTAAAATGACCTCATAAAAATCAGAGATGTGTTTTTTTCACTCATGTATTATTGGATTAGACTGGCTACATTTCCAAAGCTCAAAATGTTCTGTTCCACCATGTGATGTCATGAAGCAGTAGTTTTCAAATTAGCATCAACCTTTTACCTTTTGGTTAAACTGACAATTTTAGGGCTGTAATTATCGAAATGATTGAGTGAAGGTGTATGGTGTATGAACAACATTATAACATAGATTTTTAAAAATGCACAATTTAAATTTAGCTGTAACTATTATAGGACTTAACTGCTGCTCTTGCAATGTTCAAAACAATTATCTAACTGTGGCAGTTCACAGAATGTGGTTTAGACCTGACTTTTTGGCAGCAGACTGGAACAAATACGTGAGGAGCTTGTTCAGCCATTAGGGCTGACCTCTGAGATGAATGGGTGTTTATAAGCTGCAATTTTTGTGTTAAATCCTCTAAATTCCTTCAAAGGCAATTTAGAATGACTTCCTTTTGTGTCAGCATCACACTAAAACAATGTGGTTAGCATGCACATGATGTTTGCTAACTTACACTAGTAAACAACAGCAGAATTTAGGCTCATGTTTAAATTCAACCATAAAACCTGTATCAAAGCAGGCTGACTGTTTATCTCAACCAATCAGCTCCTTAGGCTTTCCTCTCCTTCAACTTGACATTTCAGAGACCCTAGATAATTGAGAAATATTTTCCCTAGCCTAATTTATTCTCCTCCTTATTGTTTTTTGCCATATTGGTTGTCATTTCTAATGCAAACAAAATGTCTAATGTAAAAACAAATTATCAGTATGAGAGTTTATAAATTCTGTTTTCTGATTGATGTTATAATATTGTGTCCTCATCAAAAACATACCTGGAGTTGTGCTTTGTTTTTTTCCCATAAGTTTAACACACAAATACTGCATATTCAGAGTTCTTCTCTCAAATGGAAAACACTCTGTTCCACCTTGTGATGCCATGTGGTAATACAGGAAGTGCTCTAGTGTGTTTTTAAACTCCATACACCCTCACTAGAATCACTTGAATTGGAATTGACCATTTCTACTGAACGGACATTTTAAAACATTTTGAGATAATGCAGAGTTATTCAAACATGTGTGGATAAAAAAAAACACTTTTTGAGGAGGTAAAAACATTATAACATGGCTTAAAGTTCACAAGAATTCCTTTGTGTAATATAGGACTTTTAACTATTTGACTTTTTGAAGGGTCTTTCAGGAAAATAATGGAAATTTAACTTCCATAAACACAAATTCCTGTCCCATATTGAGCTCCATAGCTGTTGTTTAATGTCACATCACACTTGACAATCACCTTGACCATCTTTAACCCCAACCTTGACCTATAGTCTGCATACCTGTGTAGTATTACCCAGTATGGGACATCTTGAGACAACACACTCTTCCCTCTGCTCCTCACTCACCTCTCAGTTCACTCTCTGATCCACTGGGCTCTCCGTTCAGTCGTTTGAACAATGACCTCATGACCTTTGCACTCCCAAAGCGTTTGAATCGGGCACGCACGTTTTCATGGTACCACTCCAGTGTACCGATCTTTAGCACCCTACAGAAAAAACATACATATTTTTAGTTATGAATAAGAAGATTAGTCAAATTTTAAATGTAATTATGGTTGAGGTTTTAAACTGTTACAAAATATTTAAAATGAAGAAAAAAAAAGTTATGTAGTGCTGAACTGTATTGTATTTAATGTAAATGCAACTGTTTGTATCTACCATATTTTCTATTGTACATCTGTATGGTTGATTAACATGTCACCTTACAATTGTTTTGATAAGGTTTGATGAGGAAATTTAGAATCTCTACCATACTGATTGTACAATGCATCCATGGGGATCATAATGATGAAAAATTATTACCTTTGGCATCGCAATTAAAAATTTAATACTACATTTAAATGGGAAAAAAATCTTAAAATATAACAGGAATCTGAAACCATATATATGCATATTTAAACTCTTATTATCCATTTTAAGGACCCCGAGAAGACTAATTGGGATCAACATAAAGAATAAAGAGCTATGTTGATGGACAGGGCTTATGATATTAAAGGCCCTACATAACACAAAATTGACACTTGTGAGGTTTAAACCAGTTTAAAATATTGGTACCTTGTCAGAAGATACCTGGACTTGTGTTTTGTTTCATTCATGCATGTTTGAGTAATTCTTAGTCTGTCTACATCTCCAAAAATCAAAATGCTCTGTTCCACCTTGTGATGTCATGAAATGGTAGTTTTCGCGTTAACAGCTACCTTTAACCTTTATTTCAGTAAAGACTTGCAATTCCAGGGCTAAAATCATCCAAAGGATTCTAGTGAAGGTGCATGGTGTTTCCAAACACAGAGTAGCACTTTCTGCATTACAACATGATGTCACAAGGTGGAACAGAGAGTTTCCAGTTTGAGAGAAGAACTCAGCTTAAATATGCAGGGTTTGTGTGAATGAAACAAAACACAACTCCAGGTATGTTTTTGAAGTGGAAACAACTATATAATATAAATCAGAAAATAGTGTAATATGGGCCCTTTAATAGACTAATAACAGGAGTGTAAGGTTAATTACATGGTCACATATTGCAAAGTTATACAATGCCCTATATGGGAAATGGGAAAATATATTGTCTCCATATGTTATTTTTATCAACCCCATAAAAAATCATAAAATGTTCTATGTTCTTTGTTTACAATGTAGCACAAGCTATATTTTTGGCAGACTGTTTGAAATTGTGGTTTCAATTAGGACCCAAATAATCAAACAATTTTTAAACATAGTTAATGTACAAAATCATGACCCAAGAGCCATATAAAGTACATTGCAGGCTTTGTTCATGTGAATATGTTTAGTGTTAGATGAACCTGACGCTCTCCAGACACAGGGTTAGTGACGGGCCAGTGCAAGTGCTCTGTCTTCAACAATACCATAATGGAGCCATAACAAGAGGCATGTATTAAGTTTTATTGGCCAACGAAGTGTAGTTTTACTGACAATTTTACAAGATATTTCAGGAGTGTATGGGTTAAGTTACTCAGAGGTACTCATAAAATGGTCTTTTAACCCTTTAGAAGTTTGTAAAAAAAATGTATAATTGCTATTTTATGTGACCAAAAAGGGAAAATGATGAATGAAAACAGATGTCTAATTGTTGATTTAAATAGGTGATGTATCAGAGCTGTGGGACAAATGTAATATTGTCTGACAAAAACATTGCCCCTCTCTCTATAACTGCTGCTGAGGGCATCATCATTTTGGTCTTAAAATGTTTGTATTCACAAATTCTCAGGATACCTCAAGATATGAACATTAATAACAGACAAAACGCCCTCTTTCCCTTCATTACCTTTAACAGCCTCACTCCGGATTGGCTCTTCGGTTGCTATGACACAATTTGGAGACAATATAGAACTTGTCTCCAAATTCGTTGCTATAACTGCAAGCCTCAATGAGCTTCATTTAGCTCAGTTGCTACAGCTGGCACCGCTACTACTAGAGAGAGCTTAAATACCTCAGTAGTGATAATATGTGAGTTTATACCTGGTCATGTGGCAGGGATGGCAGACCCAGCCCTGCTCCTTCTTGCTGTAGTGGCTGCAGCTCTTGCACACAGGCAGAGCAGTCCAAGCACTGGACTTTGTTGGTGATCAGGATTTTGAATGGTTTGAGACAGCGGATACAATAGGACTCTGAGAGGGGGGTCTGGTGCAGCAGCTCCCTCTTTGTGTCCTCCTTTTCGATCTTCGTCTTCAGTTCTCTGTAGTTAGAATGTGGGAGATGTTTAGTGCCATAAATTAAAATAAACACACATGTATTGAAGTAAATGCTTGGTTTTCAGTCTATGTTTTGGCCCAAATCAAATGCAATGGGACTTTAGGCTTTATGTCACAACTGAATTCTACAGTTGTCACGTAAATAATTTGGCATAGATAATTTATGCTGAGAGAGTTTTTTCCCAAATAACTGCAAAAGTATTACTGTAAGATTTTGGCAGTGAATCAAGTCAAAATAAAATTAAATGTTCTTTAAATTTAAAATTTCATACACACTGTCTATTTGTATCACCAGATAAGAAGTAAATAATAAATCAAATTCTGATTATTCATAAAATCCATTGCAGACAAGAGTATGAATGTGCTGTAACCAACTGTCAAAGGGCAAACACTCCCATTAGACATTTTGAGACAATATAATAATAGACAGTGGCACCAAAACAAAAAATCTACTGGTGTTTAGCCACAAAGATTAAGCTTTTTATTGTCAGATAATCAGAAAGTGCATGTTATCATTCTAGTTGTTGTTTGCTTTGTGAAAAGCCTGTATAAACTCATTGTGGTGAAAATTAAGGATGCTCAGAATCTGAATCTTGATTTTGAAATCAAATAGTAAATGTCACTTCAGTGTAATTATTTTGCCAAAACTCTACAGCCCTACTATCTTGTATTCAAATGTGCATGTTTAATAAAGACAAAATATAATATTAAGATTGAAAACAACTCAATATACAATACACATTCATTCCTATCATTCATATCTTTACAGTGCATTCTGAGCGATCTTCTGCTGATCTCTGAAATCTAAGAGTCTCAATCAGCATTATAATATGCTTACTGTACATTCAAATAACAAGTCCCAAATGTGTGAGAGGGAGTGGGTGGAGAGCGGCACTGCAATGAACACAACTCAGAGACAGCACTTTTGTAAATCATAGACACATTTGGCTGGGACTCTCATTTGTTCAATCTGCTCTTAGCTAAACCACAGATATACAAGCACAAACAGTCGTTCTGTGATTCAAATTAGATGCTTAACATGTCCAAGTGCAAAGATGTGGCTGCAGAGGCTGGTTATTCAAAACAAGAGAGCTTGGCTTTATTCACTGCAAATTGTGTTTAAAGATTAATAAGTCAAAAAGCGACTAGGGCTGTGCAGTTAATCAAATCTGAATGGAGATTTAGTCATGTTTAATCATCAGTGGAGAGGTCTACACTCAATCCACAACATGGACTATTTTTTTTTTTTTTTGTGGTTTGCTTTAATAAACATTCCAGTCTTTGTTTAATTGGCTTCACTCCTTCATAATTTCATTTCAACTGCATGTCAGTGTATTGTACTTATAAATGACCCATATTACGAATGAGCGTGAGTGTTGGTTATGTGCAAAAGATAGTGAACAAATTAGATATAAAACACCAAAAATAATGACACAAAATAAATAGGCAAGTACAAAATATAGTCAACATAGTGTATACAACCATGTGAGTTTGCCAAGTATTACATGATCACCATAGCAACACAACACAAACCACTACTGGCTCTACATGTAAGTATCTGGTTTATTGCTGCTCCATCCTGTTTGTTTTGTGGGATTTCTATTTATAGTAAATAAACTGTGGAAAAGTAGCAACAATATTTTGTGGTGAGGTTTTAACCAAAATGTACACACTGTTCTACATACAAACTGAAAGAGGTCAGTGACTTCTTTAAAGGTGCACTGTGTAACTTTTCTGGTTTGTGTTTCTATGGAAAATGCTTTCTGAGCTGCAGAGGTTTTTATTTTTTTTTGCTGCTGTACCAATTATACCCTATCCACATGTTTTGATAGATCCATGACTGGCTGTAGCAGTATTGTGCCACTTCAGAGATTAAATCTCCTATTTTAAGCAAAATTGGCTCTTGAGCTTTAAGACATGTTATACCGATAATGCCGTTACCTCATCATTCTTTCTTTCACACTTTTGAATAATCCTTTATTATTAGTCTGTCTACATCTCTTAAACTCAAAATGCTCTGTACACTGTGATGTCATGAAGCAGTAGTTTTCAAGTTAACAGCTACCTTTACCTTTAGTTCAGTACAGATTGGACATTCCAGGGCTGAAATTATCCAGATTATTCTAGTGAAGGTGTATGGAGTTTAAAAACACAGTAGAGCACTTCCTGTATTACCACATGACATCACAAGGTGGAACAGAGTGTTCTCAATTTGAGGGAGGAACTCAGTCTAAATATGCAGGATTTGTGTTTTAAAAGTGTGACTGAAACAAAACACAACATTAGATTTGTTTTTGATGAAGAAACAACAACACAGCATATAACAAAGATCCAAAAAAGCATAATATGTGTCCTTTAATATACCTGTAATTTATGACATTTATGTTCTACTACCCTCCCTTTTTTTCTGTCTTCTTCCCTTCTTTTTTACTTCTCATTCCCTCATCTTTCAGGTATCAGGGAGTTACAAAGCCCCAAACAGACCATTATTATTATTATTATTATTATTATTATTATTATTATTATTATTATTATTATTATTATTCCTTTTATTTGTCCCACATTGAGAACATGCATTCGAAATCAAGAAAAAATAATAATGAAAATACAATCACAACAGCAATAGACATAAAATGTATTGCAATACTGTACCAACACAGTAAAGCTACAGGCAACAAAACTACTGTTATATACACTGCAGCATGAAGCATGTAGGAATGCAGCACAAGAATAAATTGTAGTTTAAAGGGCCTATATTAGGCTATTTTGTGATCTATGACAATGTTGTTTCCTCATCCAAAACATACCTGGAGTTGTGTTCTGTTTCATTCACAAGTTTCACACACAAATCCTGCACATGGGTAGTGTTCCACCTTGTTATGTAGAACAGAGCATTTTGAGCTTTGCAGATGTAGGTAGATTAATAATAATGGATTGCTCAAACATGTGTGAATGAAACAAAACATAACTCCAGGTATGTTTTGGATGAGATAACTGCATTCTAACATAGCTTAAAGCTCACAAAATCGGACCTTTAAGTGTCTACCATGGTTTCTGTTTTCACATAAGCTACATTCATAATTACACAAAATTATGAGACTGGAGTTTCCTTCCGAGACACAGTAACCACTAACATTTGAATATACAATGTGTATTTGAAGTACTTGTAACACAGTCTGTTCTCTTAACTCTTAATTGTCTTGCTTCAGTGTTTAACAGCAGCTAGAGCAGACAGAGCAGAGGAATCCACATTTGGCCGACAAGTTCACAAAGAGAGCAGACTGCTCCCAAACATGGACAAGAGCCACTGAACAATTCAATAAATCTGTGTTCTCTTTGTTTACAGTGGATCTGACAGAAAGGCTGTGGGAACTCACTGGTCCTGTAGCTGTATAAAGGGTGCTGGTCTGGGGTCTCAAGACAATTTATGTTTTGTTTTTTTTTCTTCTATGACTGAACTGGATTTTTACTGGCAAAACAAAAACTGTTTATCTGAAACAGTTTGCAGTGGTCCAAACATATTCCCCACTTCTCCTACTAGCACCTTGTATTTATTGCAACGAGTTTATAATTGCATTTGAAAAATTTCAGGGGGCAAAGCGGACTAACTAATTACAACTAACATGCTAACAACAATACTTCCTGGTTTATAGAGATAAAAATGCTTTATAATTAGATGTAGAAAGCACACAGCGGTTTTGAAGAAGAGCTGCTTTTACAATATATTCGTACTGGGGCAAAACAGATTTTTTACCGATTACTTTATAACATCAAAAAAGCAACAAGCAAAAAGAAGCAAATTAATTAGATAAGTGTGTATAAAACTTGGTCTAGGATGAAGTTCAAGGATGAAATGAAATGTTTTTGTCTGATGAGGTTTCACAAGATTTAGGCGTGACAGTTTTATAAGTAACCCACATGACAATCTGCACCTATTTATACTCTACACAGGGATCAAAACAAGAGACAGAGTGGTACTTTCAAAATAAAACTCAAACTTTGGACACATAGCTGCATTGGGGCTGCACAATATATTCCAATTAAAAACAATTATAACTGTTATTTGAGTTAGTGCAATGATCAAATCTCAAAAACTGCAAGTATTAGAAAAGAAATGAACCAAATACCCTGTATATTTATAGAAATATCTTGTTGTACCTGTAGTTTAAACCTTTGCAAACATGTTCTGAAATGCATGGAATTCTTGTATTAGTTTATCTGTTCAGATTTCAGTCTTCTCTCATACAGTATGTTAATGCTCCTCAAGTTGTCTACAATGTCCACTATGAACAGAATCCTACTTTTTAAACATATTGCAAATCTAATCACAATTGAGAATAATAATTGGGTGTTTTTCCCCCCAAAATGGAGACAATAGGCGATTAGCCTGTTGTTATGATTTGGGATTCTGCAAAAATAAGATGAATAGGAATTGAAAAGGAAGTCAAATCAGGTCTTTAGTAAATGCATTATTTTCTTAGAAAAGGCAAAAGATCTTGTTGATTTGAATTGATCAGATGATGTATTTATCCTGAAATTGAGCACATGGTGAGGGATTAGACAAGGGGAATTAGTTTGATACATTACTGTCTGGCAACAAGGAAATTCCCAACTCAAATACATTACATCAGACTGATATCAACCACCAGGCCAGGACAGCATGTGAATCATTGTTAGTTTTAATGAAGAAAGTTAGGTTTGATCACTAACTGCAAATTAATAGATTTGTGTTATTTAATTAAGCAGAACCTATTCGAGTCAAATGTAGAACATTTTATGAGCTGCAGTGAAGCCAGTACTAGCATGTGATATCCATTACATCTGCATGATATGGACAAGACAAAAAGGTTTTATAATATTTTACAAATACAACACATATTTGGAGAAAAAATTTAAGCTGATGTCTAATTTAAAGTTAAGGTACACAGGGACTGCAAGCAATTATTAATCAGTGCTAGTGCAGCCTCTGCAGCAATGAGAGTGAATTCAGGAGGTTCTGAGCTTTATGAGTAAAACTTGCAAGTGTCCTCTATATACAGGTTTAGGCACTGGCAACCCAGAATCATTCGTGAGTGTAGTACCCGTATAACTAGCAAGAGAGCTGGTATACCTTTGACACAGTAATTGTTTCTTATGGTCTTCTACTGGTATACTGGTTATTCCATCACATCACAAAGCACTAACCAGTGACTGCTTTAGATGAAGCACGACCTCAGGGGTCTTCAGCGAGGGACACCCAAACTGATGGAGAGCTGGAGCAGGAACCTCCTAATATATATATGGTGTATAATTTATTAGGGGAGTCAAAGTCTCAAAAATGGGTTGAACCTGACATGCAGTCTGCCATACTTTTTATTTATGTTTTTTTGTTAACTTTGACCCTTAATTGTGTTTTATATTGAACTGGGCCTAGTGTCGTGTATAAACATAACTTCTCTGTTACTGTACATTCAATACTAGGGGAGTATTCTATAGAAGTCACTTAACAAGTCCACGCTTATCCTGAAATCCTGAACTGAAACTAGCTCCATCTCCAGTTTAAGCCTCAACTCGTTACATCAGAGAAATAAGCGAATTCAAGCCTGAAGTTGTGTGTGCTCACAGTGACTCTGAGAAGGACAGATCATTGGAACAATGGCATCATGGAAAATGAGCTCAAAGTGTGAACTTTTTAATGATCTGATTAAATGAGAGAGGAGCCACAGCGCAGTGTTTGATTTGGGCCACAGAACTTTTTCGGTCATTCTGATGTGAGGAACGAGAGGAAATACATGAGTTCCCCCTCCTCTCCCAGTCGCTCCGTGGGTAGAGATGAGGTGGGCTGCGGAGTGCGCAGCCTGGTTAATACGGGCAGGGGAATGAAGTTGCCTGACCCCTTCTCGATGCGGAGCACAAGCAGAGTGTAAGTTCGGCTGTGCGTAAAAGGAAAACTGTAACGGAACATTTCACACAATCCGGGCCAACGTGTTTGCAGTTTGTCAGGGAGCGAGAGATGAGGGAATGATGAGAGAGAGAGACAGATGTGATGAAGGAGCGAACAGACAGAACCCACTGAAAACCAGTTCACCCTCATACTTCAAAAATGAAGAAAAAAAGGCTAATCAACCAAAGATCTCGTGATCCCCTGCAGTACCTCCGTGATCCCCCTAGGGGTTGTAACCTGTTGAAGACCTCTGCCCTACATGGTTTATAATATGCTCTGCATGTGGGTCAAATTTAAATAGAAATGAGCTATTTACTGTCTGTTGATTAATCACTCATCAAATCCTTTTTGTTGCACCCTTCCTCACACTGCAGAGTCAGTGCAGCTGATATGAACCACATGAGGAGCTCAACACTGTATTTAGAAAAACAAGAAAGAGTGTGTTGCTCTCACTTTGGTTCCCACTGATGCAAAGACATAAGGATCATAGTATTTGGAGACTTTCCCACACTAAATGAAAGATTAAATTTGTGTAATCTATTTAGGATGCCTTTACAGTAACTTACATGTGTGATCTTATCTTCTCTTCTTTACATGACCATGAACAGATTTGATAAAAGGACTGGGAAATCTTCATAAACCAAGTATATTAAATGAGTGCTTGCCATTCATCCACAAACCAAAACTACCAAAGATCCCAATGTATATTTTTCCATCAACCCAATCCTCTTATCTATAATGTCTGCATGGCTCAGTCAAAGTGTGGAGGCTTGCTAATGCTAATATTTAATGCTAATGCTATTTTGCAAATTCTAAGGCTTTTTTCACCTATATGTTGTATGTTGTATATGTACGAATTTTTCATACTCATACATATCTTTTCATCTGTTACAATTTCAGATCAATGAAAAATTTGCACTTCCAAACAAAATATGATTATTTAAATTGCCAAAAGTCTTCAAAATGTCGCCTATACAGTCCTGAGTGTTTGTACTGACCCGAGTCTGTCCTCCTCTTTCTTCCTCAGGTCGAAGTCTCTCTGGATCACCTCCCACACATGTTTGGCCTCCTCGTCTGTCAGCTTGGACAGGTCCAGCTTCTTTCCTGTGGTCATTGAGCCAGGCATGTTAAACCCGCAACCTGGGAGCTCTCCACTCTGTGTGCTGCTGCTGGGCTGTGTAAAACAATGCAACACATGAGTTAGAGCAGTGACAGCCTCTGTGGTCATCTTTTCTTTTGTAAGATTAATGAATTTGTACACGGTCCTTGACAAAGAGTAAACTAAACGAAACAGATATAGTAACCACCTTAAAGGTGATTAATTGCAATAATGGGTCAACATGTATATTTTGCCAGGAAAGTCTTTGAGATAAAATCTCTCTTTTTAAGGGATACCTGGCCCAGAGGAACCTTGGCAGACAAAGTAAAACAGATGTTATACAAATGCGGAAGCATTACTCTCTAAAAGTGCCATGATATTAATTTTGGGAAAATGATATTGTAATATCTAAAGAAACCAAGGAACATCCATCTGCTTCTAATCTTACTACTACAAAAAAAAAAAAAAAAAAAAAACAGAAGCCAGAAGCAGTATATTATAAAAAAAACAAAAAACAAAAAAAAAAAAAAAACCTACATTGCATTCATGTAACCTCATAACAGCAGCTTTAGTTGTTTAGTTGGGCTTTAAAACTAGTGTCTACAAAACCAGTAGCACAAGTAGGTCAAAAAGAATCAGACTAGTCAGGCCTCTTAGCTCTTTAAATCTAAAATGCAGTGCCTTCAATTTAGAGCCATGGGTGAACGAGTTCAGAGCCAGTTCATGACAAGTGTGTGAAAACAGTTTGTAAATAAAGTCATGGTTCATTTCAGTTCAGAGTAGGTAATTATAATTTTCACATTTGTTCATGCAGGCTGTGATTCTGTGGGTGTTTTCCTTCTTCATACAAAGTTAAGTTTTAAGTTAAGATAACACAGTGTATTTAAGGTTTTTTACAATTTAAAGTGGACATATCATACATTATCTTGGCCTTTAATTTAGGGCTGCAAACTAGGGCATAATGAAAAAGGTGAAAAAAGAAATACATTTGTTTCCATTATCTAAGACTGCTATTGCATTATTTATAACAAAAAGATGGACTGACATGGGTGGATGACATAACTGAGTGGAGGATGTGAATCATAATTAGATAAATCAATTATATGCACTAATGTTATGATCTTACAGCACAAGGCATACTAAAAATGGTCTTTCAACTGTAAATTTCAACTGTAAAACAACTTAAAGTGCCCCACATGAGTCCACAGAGTGAGTTAACATCTTATAACCTTACAATACTTACAGACAGATATTTCTATGGGGCCAAATGACAGTTTACAAGATTTAACATTCTGACAAGTGATTGAACTGTCACAAAGTCTGGAGCAATATGGCGGCTAAGGTAGCTCTGAGTAGACAAAACAGATCAACTCAAAAGAGAAACATATTTCTCCACTGGGGCAGAACACTATTACTTGTCTTCTTTAGCTTAAAACTAAAAATCTTTTTGTCATCTGCTCTGAAGGGATTTCAAACAGCTAAACCCTCATACTGTTACAAAAGGAGTTACATCAAGATTCTTCTATGGAACTTAAGCACTGCCTGTCACAGTCATTTATGTGATCCATGGCAATGTGCCAACTTATCCTAAAAGCACTGTGTAACTTTTCTGGAGGGTGTAAGGAACCATGGAGGTGTTAGACCTTATGTTCCACAGTATGGCATTAAGGCCAAATTACCCAACTATTTTCAACTATTTTTCTCTTAAATGAGTAAATTATGTTTTTTTTTTCCCCAGCAGAAAGTGTATTGTAAAAGCAGAACTTTGTGACAAAAATCAGACAGGTAGACACTGTCTCAAACTTGAGGAATGAGCCATGTGAGTCAGTCAAGAGTCACCATGATGCTTTGGGATTAGAGCAGATTGGCTGCCCAAGAGTGGTACACCCTGCTTCACGTTCTGTCTGAAAAAGCTGTTTAAAGCTGTGCTAATAGACAAATAATTCTTACATGTGGCTGAGTGGCTAACACTCATGCCTCACAGCAAGAAGGTTTGGGGTTTGATCCCCGGGTCACCCGGGCCTTTCTGTGTGGAGTTTGCATGTTTCTCCCCGTGTCTGGATGGGTTTCCTCTGGGCACTCCGGTTTCCCCCGTCAACCCAAAACATGCTACACAGATCTCCAGGAAGAACAGTTGATAGCCAAGGTCAATTAAATACAATCAATCAATGAATCTGCCCAGGGACTACAGGTGGAAATTAGCACTGACGGCACAACCTGGTACAATGCATCTCTCCTTTTAAGGTTAATGTAAAAATTGTGCACTGTAAATGTGAACTCTACTCTACTAGGATGTTTGTGAGAGCTAAGGATCAGGTAGATAAATTTAAATACATACTTTATTTTTCATGGTTTGAAAATGGGGTACCCCATCTTTAAACTTCTTGCATTTATTTAAATGTTTTCAGTGCTCATAAATACTTAACACTTAAAAAACTTGCATAAAGTGAGTGGAGTCACCTTTCCACAGATCTGACCTGTAACTAGGCCTAGCAGTGTCATCTGTTTGTCTCCATGGAGATAGATATACGTTTAATGTCATACTGTTGAACATTCCATGGCATTTATAGTGAAGCTTTAAACCCAAACACACCTCAAGTAGAAGATACCATTTACATTTTTTTCTCAGACCAGGAATGTCTTGCCCTTCAAGTAATTGTCTTGTTTTTCTCAAACTACGTCAAAGCCTCTTTAAGCATCCAGTGACCTAATCTAATTTCATTCTCTGTAGCAGTAAATTCTAAAACAAGCTCAGTGCAGTGAGTGGGTCTGTAGACAACATGGCTAAGGTCTATTCAAATAAAGTGCAAGTTTCTCATGGATAATTTCACCTTGAATAGACCATGCCTTATGATGTTTGCTTTATGGGTGTATCTTAATGCATCTTATCTCGCAAAGAAATCACTTATTTTAGAGTTTAAAAATAAAGATAATATTGTTCATTTTTTAGTCTTATTAAAATGTAACGCAAGCCAGCTTTGCATAACTGTTAAATTTACTGTTGTTATAGATTAATTAATTATTCGAAGGAATCCAAGTGTTTGTAAAGGGAGTGTTTCTTTCAAACAGGTGTGACTGCAAACATAGGTGTAGACATTTCTCAAGACAGGATCACATGCATATAGTTATATAAATATTGTAAATAACATATGCACCTGCAGTGTTGCATATTGTTTAAAATATAATGACTCTTAAGACATTTTTATCCATAGTCAACCAATGTATCTGTCCCTTGGATTTGATTGTTGAAACAGAAGAACAAAAAATGCATTCAAATACATTTGCACAATTACATCAGTTTTTAATGCTTTAAATGGACCCATGTAGTTGTTGTTATTGTTTTCTTTGTATTGTCCAAACAGGTTGCTCATGAAAAAGAGAGCCTGGTCTTCTTATTGGGCTTTCTCTGTCTCAATAAAATGAAAATGAATACATATAGATTCCAGAAAAACTAGCAAACAGCAAATTAACTAATCTGTTGCCTGGTCCTGTCACATGCAGTAGATCAAACACAAACTTGAAAATTTGAAGTTATTAATAGGACCAACAATGCTATGCTTTCACATATAATAGTCATAATAAATATAAACATATAGGCATGCACGATATGCAGCTTACCTCAGCAGCTTGTTGTAGACTTATATCCCCAGGGCTTTGTTTCTGGATGCAGACCAAATCACTGACTGCAGGGCAAAACCTAAGCACCAGACAGAAATGTTAATCACATGTCAGGCTAACAAGGAGCTAGAAAAAAAAAAAAACTCCTCTCTCTCTCTCTCTCTCTCTCTCTCTCTCTCTCTCTCTCTCTCTCTCTCTCTCTCTCTCTCTCTCATCTCTCTCTCTCTCTCTCTCTCTCTCTCTCTCTCTCTCTCTCTCTCTCTCTCCTCCTCCTCCTCTTTTCATTCCAGTTCAAAGAGTTAAAATGTGCACTAACCTTGTAGTTCAGTACAAACAGAAGTGTGTACAGTAGCCAAAAGATTTTACTAAAGCAACAGTACCTTTACTTCTAAATCTGTGAAAACTGCAATTTAACTGTCAGACCATAACATCTGATTTATAATTTAAAGTTAATTTAATTAGTCTGAAGGGGGAGTAAAGAAACACAAATATTTAAATAATTTTATATTATCAACATAAAGCTTTGTCATTTATAGACACTTTCACCTGAATAAGAGTACAGTTTCTTCAAAGAACAGGAGTAAAACTAGAAAAGCACTAGAGCGCAGACCTCCACCAAGGACTACCCCCATTTTTTATATAAATTGTGATAAAATCAGTCTTCTGGATCAGATCCGGATCAGCCTTTGGAATATGAAAGAGGATCCCATTGTCCATCCCTGAGTCAAATTTCATGGGGTTTGGTCAATAATTAACCGAGATATTGAGAAACAAAATTTTTGGCCCCATTTACCACAATGTTAACTAAAATTTCAAAGTGATCCAGAATCCAGGATTTCTTCCGGATCACCCCCAAAATGAAATCAGTTCTTCCTTTTCACATTTCCAACAAATCCTGAAAATTTCATCAAAATCGGTCCATAACCTTTTGAGTTATGTTGCTAACAGACAAACAAACAAACAAACAAACAAACGCCGGCAAATATAAGTTACAAGTTAATGTAACTACCCACCTCTGAGTACAGACTTAATGTGTGAAATATCAATCCGCTGAGAGGCATCCATTCTGGATAGTGGCCAAACTGTAAATGCATGAGGAGGTTATGGGAAGGCCAGGCAGGATTAATCACACAGTCATGTGTTACCTGGAATTAAGAAAAAGCTGTTAATACTAAGGTTACTATAAATTTACTGATGGTTAAGACTGTTAACTACTATATTGACAAAAGATCAAAGCTGAGCAGTGTTTTTAGGAGTGCCTTTATGCTTTTCTTGGTTTTGTTCTGGTTTGAGTTAAATCCTGATGTACTATATACACAGTTTGGATCTGTTCTAGTCCAGGTTTAGTCCGAGTTTAACTTTGGATTAATCCCAGATTTGATGTAGTGTGTGTGCAAGTGTGAATGCAGCTTTACTTCCATTTATGAACATGAGATTGAGTCCATATTTAGAGCTCAGTTTAAATATCTGAAGGAATATAATATTTAATATTTATGCATTTTAAGCTATGGAAAGGCATTAACAAACCTACAGTCAGTATCATTATGTATTGCCATATTTTCTGCAGCAGTATATTCAACTTCAAATATTATTGCTATAGCAATAATATTTGTGGCGACATCTGCAATACATGTGGTTAAACCAAAGGTAAATATTGATACTGATGCAGTGTTAGTTTAAAGCTTACTGCATATTGTAATGCTTGTCTGACTGTTTGCACAAGGTGAGTCGAGTTAATGCTCGGTTGGTACTTGTACCCACAATGTTTAACCTGTCATAAGAATTCAATTATTCTCAAACCAAGTATAATCCTTTTTCATGTGCCCACAAAGACACTTATCTATTAAGGGCATTATTTATTTACTGCTACAGTGTTCACCCCATTTCCCTCGTGTCAATACAGACATGTTAGATTTATATTGAGAATAAGGAAAGGGTTTGACATTGTACAAATTTTGACACTAAAATATTCATCAAAATCGTAGTCAAATAATAGTGGTTTCATGAATATTATCATGCAGTGTATTAGTTCAAGGCCACAAAAGTATGAGGTCCAATTTATTTCACCATCTATAATTAAAATAAGTATCATTTGAAAGTAAGTATCATTTTTTCTAATGCAAAGTTTGGAAATTGAACCCTAGACCTTGGGAGATTTAACGAAAGTCATTTCTGCTAAGCAACTATGATAACAAAAACAGTAGCCCTAAAACATTTCATAGTACATTAATGTATAGCCTGTGTTAACAGTAAAACTCTTAACAGGACTAGAATCAGGATGCCACCAACTTTAGATTTTTGGCCAGACAACAAAATGTAAATAGAGATTCATTAGCACAAGCATTACAGAAAAGTCAACAAAAGAGCAGCGGAACAACCTGACAAGTTGGTCACTACTGATAATAAATACATTTATTACACTATAGAAGAACTAATCACAATCAAGTATTTTTATTGATATATTCATTAAAGCTGATTATGATTAATGACTTTCCTTATTAAGTCCAAAATTAGCTCTGGTTTTCTCTCTGTTATGGTTTTTGTCAGGGAATTTACCCTAAGACATCAAATTACATTAAATAAAGACACACCAAAACGAGACAGTTATAGTAATACTTGCGCAAGGAGAAAAGAGCTGTCAGAGCCTGTCAATACCACTGGCTGAGCCTACTCCACTCTACTCTGCCAGCTCTCCTCCCAACAGCAGTTTTTATTGCAGTCATTTCACAGATAACAATACAGTACATTATGTTATATCACACGAGGTTTACAATGATCACATGCTAACAATCTTTAGGCTGAACCACCCTCCCATTTCACACTTGATTACAGGCTCCAGGTGATAAACAATCAGGTCAGTTTTCTCCCAAAACTTATGCTAACCACATGAGGGGAAAAAACCCTTAGCTGTCTTCTCATGGGTGACTCAGTAGATTAGCTTAAAGAGTCAGGAGTTCTTGAACTAGGACATATGACATACATATGGAAAAAAACTTTAATCACACACACAAAAGATTATGAATTTAAATGAACACACAAATGCTTATGATTTTAAATGATTCATAATATTTAAAATAACTCATAAATTCTTTCACAGTTTTATTTTGAGTTAAGTTCAGTTCTTAAAGTTTCTATAAATTACAAAAATATTGGGGCGTGATCACAACTGTGAGAAAAAAAGATGCAGATTAACTGCAAGAGATTTGCCAGGGTCAGAAGGAGCTGGAAGAGCCTGCATGCACATTTTTTATTTGCAAAGTGGTGACTAGCACGCTAGATATTTATAGATATTTAAAATATTTGTGATTGAAGTGCATATGTTGTTCTGATTATTACTTGGTTTGGTGGGATAGGCCCCGATACATATTAATCATAGCTTTACATCAGTTCAGTTCCAGTAAGTGGAAAAACTGCTGAACAGAAAAAATACAAAAATTATAGGAAGTAGCTGTGAGTTCCAAAAGTGCTTTCATCTATCTTTGTCATCAATACAGAAAATTTAATTCATAATGCAAGACAATTACCTGCATTTTTCTGGCTAAACTTTCATTTAACAAAATAATGTCATGTAGGCCTATTTGTATTTGTCTAATTGCGCAGTTTAGTTTTTTTCTTTTACATTATGGTTGCTCTAAGAGTACTGGAATAACCTCTATGTATGTCATATCAGTTGCTCATGTCCAACGAGGAAGTACAATTACCAAACTTCACCAGAAATAATAATAATTTAAAAGTTTTGTAGTGTTTTAGTGAAAAGAGTAGTCGAATCTGTCATATGCACTTTAACTGAAAACAACATAAGCAGAATACATGAACGATTAGCCTATTCTTTTTGTAGTTTTTAAATTCTGAATGTTTTATGTATAAATCCAGTGTATGCACTCTGTGAATACCACATGTTGTAGACTTCAATGCTTTGGACTGTTCCTTTATCATGGTGTACAGTAGGAATCCTGGCATAAAGCTCAGGACAGACTGAGTCACTCCAACACGTGACCAGATCCTGTCCAGGACTTCCACAAAGCTCTGTTTACTTTGGGAATGATCCAGAACAAAATGGAAGGAACGTGATGGTAACATGCACTGCACAGATAACTGCAGGAGCTGACAGCACCGCAGCCAAACCCCTATGTTCTTTCTCAGATTTAACTCAGTGAAAATAGAAGTACACCATGTCAAACAAGTAGCAAGTGTGGAGTTATATTGTGATGTCAAGTAGGAGTCTGCTGGAGAATGAGCTCCTCTGTTCCTCTATAGTCTGGTGCAGTGGGTGAGTTGTTGTACAGTTGTAGGGAGTATTATCTGTCCCTTTAAAGTCTGGTGCAGTGGGTGAGCACTGAGCAGGAGTGTCCATGATGGAGAGCAGTTTGTCCAGTGTCTCACAGCCGATCATGTCACCCAATTTACAGATCAGTTTGTCAATCTGCCCAAGGTCTCTTTTACTGGTGCTGCTCCCCCAGCAGACCACAGTAAAGTGCAGACTGGTAGAAGAGCTCTAGTGACTTGCTTCACATTGAAAGACCGGAGCTTTCTTAGGAAGTAGAGCTCTTCATGTACAAGTGTCTTGCCTAAGGACACAATGACAGAAGATGATCAAAGCGGGAATCGATCCTCCGACCTTTGGGTTGGGAGATTTTCAGGAGAATGTGATAGTGTTTAGTTGTTTGATTTTTAACAAACAAAAGGTGAGAGGGACTGAAAAACTTTGACTAATGCTAGCTAGTTTGTGACAGTCATTTTATGTGTGAGAGTACACATCGCCTCACCTGTTGTACTTTCAACTAAGTTAAGTCCTTCAAATTGTGTTAAAACAAAGCTCAGATTAAAGTCTCACTTGAGTAACAGAGCTTCAGACAGAGCAGAGCCTCCAGCTAGCATGACACCTCTAGGGAATGTTGATGACATCAGCTGCAAAGTTTTGGATGTTGTTGCATGGTTCATATGGCTCATATGTTACATTTGTTTATAATTAGATGAGTAAATGGGCGATAACAAAATGCAACATAAAATCATTGTGTCTGTAGTTTGAATTATTCCATGGATTGCAAAGATTTTTGCTAATTTATGCACTGGGAACTATAAAGTGTTATAACTATTGACTTCTGTAGCAACATTGCATACTTTTGAAATCTAATTGACACTTAAACAACAGACCAAATAAATTGTGTGAGCTTTGAATTTGCCATTAAAACTTGATATAAAGTATACATCACTCTACATGTTAAGATATCAAAGGAGCTCTACTTGATTTTTGTCTGAAAAAAAAAAAAAAGACCTTGTTCATTTCCAAAGTCCAAAGTTATTCCTCATTCGCCTCAGTGAGTTTAAGCATAACTTAAAAAAGTTAACAACTAGCATACTAATGGCACACTTCCATAAATCACTTTATAATTCGATGCGGACAGAACACGGTGGTCTTATTTTGATCCTGACAGCTGCATTTACAAAATATCAGATCCTGTACTGTGGGAAAACTATATTTGCTTGACTATGGAATGCAATCAGTTATTTATGGGGTTTCAGCTTGCTCCATTTTGAGGACTTTTTCCCAATCAAAACAATATTGATCGTTAAGGCAACAGTCCTAAATTCTCATTATTCTCAAACCCATGGATTGTGTGAAAAAAATAATATAATTATTGTAGCGCCAAATCAATTGATGATAACACTTCATCTTTATTAAGTGCTCTACCACTCTCTCCTCTCTCCATCTCTCCCCCTCTTCTCCCCAAGGTCTTTCTCTCACTTTCTCTCTCTTTCCCTCTCTCCCACCTTCTCTCTGCCTCTCTCCCACCATCTTCCCCATCCACCCGTCTCCTCTCCCTCTCTCTCTCTGCACTCACAAACATTTCTTATCTTTTTACCCTTCTTTTCCAGAACCAGTGGGAGGAGGAAGAGGCGAGGTGGCAGAACTCCAGCACTTTGTAGAAGTTCACCACAGCCCTCTTGGTTTGGGACCTGGAGGGTCTAAAAAAAATCTTCTCCTCTCCGGACCCTACCTCCTGCTCAACCATCTTTTGGGACAATTCACCTTGCAATAATTTACTTCTCCCCCCCAAATACAGTGGAATATTTCTACTTGCCCTCAGGGTAAGTCCATAATATACTACAAATACTACCACTATTTTTGCAAGAATATCTTCATGTTATTGTATGAGATCTCACACTTGACCATGTTTTGTATTGTGCTTATTACAATATGTTAGCAATATTCCTTTGCAAGATAAAGATCTAAAAATGGTTGCTTAGACATTATGCAAAATTAAAATATCAAATATGTATATTAACTGCTACTAGCAGCCAGCTAGGAGGCTACTGCTGCACCCAGCCAGAACTCTACTGCTGTTGCTACTAGCAGCCAGGAGTCTACTGCTGCTACTACCATCCAGCCAGGAATCTACTGCTGCTGCTAGATGAAACAGTAGAAGATACTCCATTGGCAAAAGACGGATACAGTCTACCTCAGGTGTGACAGAAACAAATATGGTATAGAAGCACTATGGCTTCAAGTGCATCTTCCACATGGTAAACCTGTAGTGACATGTTATTATCAACCACAAAGCTCAAACACAAGAGTACATAAATAACATTTGCACAATGATCCAGAAAGCCAAGGACAGTAACTATGAAGTGTTTACTTTAGAAGACACGAAGATTGACTGGTTCTCTAACATTTGTGCTATGAAAAAACATTGTGTAATACCCTTACTGTATGCAGCCTAGTTCAGGTAATAAATTTACCAACCAGAACTAAGACCGACAAAGATGGACATATTACATTTACTTATATTGATCATATTTATACAAACAGTGTTAAAAATGTTCAAATTTACATTTAATTCAACACCAGTTGGTTTAACTCATCACAATATAAGTACTTCAGATTTTAAAACAAAGACTCCAAAAACAGGACCAAAAGTTATACACAAGAGAATGTAGAAGTCTTTTTATGAAGACCATTTTATTAGTGATGTGAAAAATATACAATGGGATGCTAAATATGCCCCAATAAGGAAACTGTCTGAGAGATCTGCCAGGACCGCTTGGTTAGATACTGAACTGAGGCAAAATATGAAGGTGAGAGATCAACTGAAAGAGGCTGCTGTAATGTCAGGTAATCCTGTAAAATGGCAATCCTATAAGTCACTTAGGAATAAAGTCACAAAAATAAACAGAAAAAACAATATTATCAAGCTAAATTTGAGCAATGTGGTAAAAACAGTAAACAAATATGGACAACAATAAATGAACTGATGGGTCAGAGTAAACTGAGTAAATGTCATCACTACTACAAGGACAACCTGAGTGCAAACACAAAAGAGATATCAGTGAGTGGTGAACTGTCAGGACCAAAAATTAGAAAGCAAATTATGGATAAAAAAAACTGTGATTTTGATTTCAAACATATTGAAAATGGAGAAATGCTAAAGCTGGTTGACCATTTAAACTGTGATAAACCTGGATTTGATAATATGGATAGAGGACTACTAAAAATTGCAGCTAAAGCCTTTATGTCACATTTTCAATTTATGTTTTGATGAATGCGCAGCGGTGAGGAGTATTTGGAGTGAGGGGATGAAGACTGAGAAGCAGGTAAAGTCTAGAGAAGCAGTGAAGCAGAAGTTAGATCTTCCTGACTGAAATTGCGCGAGTTCCATTTGTTGTTTGTGAAAAGCAATATTGATAAATGCATTTACTATTAAGAATATTGTCATTCATAATCTTTAGAATGGGTGTCTGAACTTGGGTCTTATCTGTCTTTTACAGGTGTCCCCGTTGGTAAAGTGAGAGAAGATGCAGCACAGGGTCTTACTGCTCTGTGCCCTTCTGGGTTTACTGCTTATAGGACTCCCCCCAAACCTCAAAGCTCAGGATGGTAAGTATGGGCATCTAAAGCTGATAATTCTCATGATTTTGTCAGAGAAAGTGAATTTACTTATGGAAAACTTATGTTTGTGATTTAAAGGAATAATTGGCAGAATTTGCAGTGAATGTATGTTAGCAAAATGCAATTTGTTTTCTTTTCTTGTTATAGTTGAGCAGTAAAATGTCAAATGCTTTTTCTGTGAAGTCTGTCCATTCAATTTCCTCAATTGTAACTGAGTGAGAAGCATATATTTAAACAGTGACTCTCCCTAAACAAACGGTTGGCCATGTTGTAAAGAGCATTGGCCCTCATTTATTAAAACTGTGGTGAAACAAGTGTATATTTGTGTGTATATTTTTGCATATGGCAGAGAGCGCGTGGTATTTATCAACCTGTGCTCAGAGCTCCTATTCTGCCATATGCACGAGCACCTGGTGATAAATGTGGCAGATGAAAACCAGTGTCATTTGAAAGAAACACCCCAAAATATCCACGTTTCGAGTGACCTCACCCCCGGGATACAGAAAAATGCTGCGTTTATCTGATAAAGAAATCATAAAGAATGTATGATTTGCAGAAAAGAAATCTTAACCCTAAAAATAGCAAGTATAGGCTCATATATAACCGCTGCAACTTTGAAATGTCAGGATCAATTGATTTTACACAATCAATTTTGTTATTTGAGTCACTGGAACTGTATAAGGACAGTTAAGATCATTTAAAGATGCATTATGTAACTTTTTGGTGTGTTGGAGTTTAATCATCTGCTCATTCCATGAAGATGTTTCTGCTTTGGTTGGAATGTTCCACGGCGTGCCATTAAACTTGTCTTTTTTGCATCCCTTGACAATGAAACATTCTAGGAAAAGCAAAAGCATCACAGAGGTAATGGTTTCTCCTCCATAAAAGTTGCACAATGCACCTTACACTATTAGATATATGTAGTTAACAGTCCAAAAAGTAGAAAAAAGAGCAGAGAGCTTATTAATATATAGTAGTATAGTATAGTATAGTATAGTATAGTATAGTATGGTTTGGTTTAGTTATAGTATAGAGTTTTATGATTAACTAAAGCTGGTAATAAACTTTTTCTATTTTCTCTGTTTGAATGAAAACATATGGTATAAATAACAGTAAAATAAGTCTCCATTTGACATCATGGGCATCCCTACTGCAAATGCATGCAGAGACAGCCACATTTGAAAAACATATTGTGCTATTTTCATAATAAGATAAACAACCTTTCACAGACTTTCTTCTTCAAAACATAAAACAGATGCTCTGATATCAGTGAGCATTGAACCACTGCTAACCACGCACCTTTTCTCTCATGTCTTGTATGTTTGTTATGTTTTTCTTTTTTTTGTCTTTTAGCCAGTTTATATTTGTGTAAATTGTGCCATATGTTTTTGAACACAGTGATGAATCTGTCTCAATCATCTTTGACCTGCAGCTCACAAATATGTGCTTACCCATGTCCAGACCAAAATATTATCTTGGATGTACATATGAACATGTCCAAAGTAGTATTTTGGTGAATATATTCACATATTTGAGTTATTGAAGCAGGAGGCTCCAAGGATGAGCACAGAGTCATGACTGGTCACTGAAGTTGATAACATGAGTCTGCATGGAACGGCTCAACTCAATAGAGATAGAACTGTGTCAAATAAGATAGATAGTTGTTTAATTAATTAACTTAATATCACACTATATCTTATGATAAAACTACCTACACCAATATGAAAATGAAGGTTACTGTTAATAATAAAGTTGTTGATTTAAATGGTGAATTCTTAAAGATGCTTGAGGACTGTATTAGATTTCTCCCTAATGTTTGGTAAGAACACTAAGCAAATGATCAAAAGAGGACAGCAGTGGGTTCATTTGATGCGGAAAGCTCAGCTTTTTTAATGTGTCATCTAACATTTTAAATCATTTTTATCATTCCTTTAGCGAAAGTTTGTTGGCTTTTTCTTTTACTTGTTGATTTTATGGGTTATCTATGAAAGATACAAACAGTCTGAACCAGAAAAAGTCAAGGTTGTTCAGGAGGATTTGGCCTCTGTGTGGAAACTTAGGGTGTTCCAAAAGACTAAGGCCATACCATGTACTGCGCTCACAGTTTGTGCAAATGCCGCATGGGAGGCGATATGTCACTCCACAACAAAAGACCAACTACTACACTAAATCCTTTATTCCTTCTGCCATAAAGCTTTTAAATGGAAAGTAAATTTACTATTGTATCCCCTGATGCACTGAGGTCTGAATGTATGGTGTGTGTTGTATGTACTTGATTTTCTTTTCTTTTATTTATTTACGGATTGTGCAAGACTAGAGATGTGCGAAATGAATTTCCCTTTTGGATTAAGAATAAAGTTGTTGAATATTAAGCTCACTAATTAGCATTGCTATATCAAACATAAAGGAGAAAAATATTCGTCAGTCTTTAGCCACGTTCAACTGCTTGAATGTAGAATTGTCATCCAACTTTATTAACCTTAAAAGTTTAAAGACAAAATACCTAAAATTTGTATATTAAATACGTAATAAATAAAATATGTTTATTATATAATTATATAAGTAATGACAAGCAAGCTTACAACTTACTTTTAAGAGTTACAGCTGAATAATACACATAGCACTGACTCAATTATAGGCTCCATTCCAACTTGTTGTATACTATAGTAAAGCACAGTTCCCTCATTAGTTTAGCCTCATGCAGTATAATGTTTAAATGTGGTTTTAATGTGTTCACTTTGAATGTTAACATGTGAGCACGTGTATCTTTGTGTCTGCCTCACAGTTTTAACGCTTTCACAAGTTCCATTTTGTTTTGTCTTCTCTCTTTCTCCTTAAAGCCCAAGACTCAGCCGACCTAGTTCTCTTAATTGATGGATCACAGAACGTTGGAGCTGCAAACTTCCCTTTTGTGCGTGATCTGGCTTTGAGAATCATTGAGCGCCTTGATGTGGCCAGAGACAAAATTCACGTAGCTTTGGCCCTTTACAACACCAGCCCTGAAATTAAGTTTTACCTGAATAGCTATGACAGCAAAGCCTCAGTCTTTCCTGGGGGATGATGAATCTAACCTGGGCCTGGCTCTAGAGGAAGTGTCTGAAAACCTGCTGAGTTCAGATGCACTAGGCCGGGTGGAGGACGGTGTACCTGAAAAGGGCAAGAGTCATTACATTTGCTGTGGCGATTGGTGACTTTGTCTCAGCTGATCTGGAAACAGTGGCCACAGACAGGAGTTTTGTTCTGTTCACCCAAGATTTCATAGCCGCTCCCAACCTGGGCGGTTAGCTGTTGCCCTACCTTAACGGGGTTGTCCAGCGCAGAATTAGTTCAGAATGAGTTCACTTGGGTGCAACATCATCTGCAAAAATTTGTTTTGTTTTGAACATTTCAAACAAATGAAAATGCTTGTGCTATAACTTAAACTCATTCAATGACTCTCACCAAGGGTCTCTTGCCTCTTTCTTCCTTTTAAATTTTTTTGCTAGCTTGTTGTTTTCAGGGGTTGCCACTGTGGATCATCTATGTCCAAATTCTCCTAACCTCTGCATTCTTTTTTCTTAAATCAGCTGACTTTATGTCCCCAAATGTCATTGACTTTGTCTGGACTTTTGCTCGGCAACTCTAAGCTCAGCATCTTTTCAGGACTGTACAATGCAACTGCTACCTCTACCTACATTGCTAAATTATCTTAGTCTTTCGTCTCTTTACTTTCAAAACTCCCAACATGGGCTGTTCATCTGATTTGTAATCCTGTTAACCTGTGCCACTCATACACTTTATGAGGAAAAGTCTTCATAAACTAACTATTAAGGTGTCATGTATACAAGTATAATAAACAAATCCAATAACCAATCAGGTCAAATCCTGCATTGGAGTTAAATATTAAAGAAGCCAGTTTCTCTTTTTGGACTTGATGAAAAAAATCTAAACAGCTAATTCAAGCTGTAACTCTATTATACATAACACAGGTAAGGACTGCAAGTGATGGATAAAATGAGGAACTGAGGCATTTTAGAAAATAATTTAACAATATTTATTACAAAAATAGATGAATTTAGACTATGATTAAAACCCCATACAATCAGCCACAATTTTAAAATAACCTAGGGCAGGCTAAACGTGGCTGCACTCGGTGCGGGCAGTCACGACCTGGAATCGGAGTACCCACTGGGGTACACACACACAGGCACACATACACACAAACACAAAATAATAAACCTAAAGGTGCAAGGTGAGGACGTGCAAAATATACCACAACACATGAGGAGAGATGAGCCCGAAGTAGGGAACTTCGACACCAACCCTCCACCTCCCTCCTCCAAGTGGGGCGACCTTGCTGCACCAACCCTAGGAGAAACAAACTGATTTAAAATATACACAGAAAACCCACAAACCTTTCAATTACCCACCAATAAACAATCAAATATAAATATTGATCTGGCAATACGAAAGTGAAAGCAGGGAGAGGGGGGTGTGCCGGCTACGCCCCTATGTTGGCCGGCAGTGGCCAAACTATCTGCGGCTACAATAAGGAGCCCATTGAAAAAGAGATGGGTCATCTCAACAGGCTGTCCTTACATAAATACACCAGGCTTAACATTTTCTTTTCTTTTCAGCCTTGGCTGTTGGACAAAGAGACATAATTTTCCTCCTTGACACCACTATGGGTGCCACCCTGCTCAACGCCGCCCGTGACTTCATTCGGCGTTTTGTCAGCTCCATGCCCATTGGTCCAGACCAAGTCCAGGTCGGTATTGCCCAATTCAGCACTAACACCCAAATCGAGATGGACTTGAACACCCATGGGTCCCGGGACGCTTTGGTGGCTGCACTGGGACGTTTAAGAACGAGACCTGGCCAAACTGTCAACATTGGAGCAGCGTTGGATTTTGTGAGGACAAACATGATTAGACCAGACAAAGGCAGTCGTCTTCGCCAAGGGGTGCCCCAACTTGTTCTGCTCATGACCACAAAAAGATCCAGTGATAGTGTGGATGAGGCAGCCAGAGCACTCCAGCAAATGGGGGTTTTAACTCTGGCAGCTGGGTCAAAAGCAGCCGATGAAGAGGAGCTGAAGAGAATTGCTTTCACTGACAGTGTTGCGTTTATGCTGAGGGATTTCCGTGTCCTGTTGAGAAATCCAAGAATCATTGTGAATGTTCTTTCATCTCTGTCTGGGACTGTTTTGACAGAGGGAACCACAGAGACAAGTAAGGCTATATTTATTTTTTATGTTTTCAGTGTCATGATTACATCTTTGTGCAGGAGCTCAGTTGATTGATATCCCCATTTTTGCTTTAATATAGCACATTTACACAGTAATTATATATTACTATGTACTGTCTGTATCAAATAAATGAAAAGAGTAGATAGACAGATATCATTGACTTGTTCATCAAAATTACTTCAGGATAACTGGCAAAAACATCTGTAATATTATTACTTGGGAAATGCAGACCCCTGAAGAAGAGAGAATGACCTTCCAAAACAGGATAATGAAGATGGATTACAATACCAATAGTCTTTTGTTACTTGTTAAAATTTCCTAAAAATTCCCCTAACGTTAACTTGGCAGCAGATAAGCAATGCAACCAAACAACTGGCATTCGCTTTGAAAATAATTAAGTAGTTGTCAGTAGGGTAAAATCTCAAAAATGTGTATAGAAAATTAGACAAAAAAAAAAAAAAGGCACTACATTCTTTTAGAAAAGTTGCGTCTTAGCTAATAACGAAAGAAAAAAGACACATTTTGGCCAATATACTAATAAGCCTTAATCAGAGCACAAGACTAAAAAAAGAAACATTTGATAATGGGAATATTGATACTGGCTAAATAAAAAAAATGTTTGGTGTATGTAAATGAACTATATCTGTTTTTCTTTTAGTTGTGGAAATAACAACAGTGGAGACACGAAAAGTTGTCAGAGACTTTGTATTCCTGGTGGATGGCTCTAATTATGTTGGTGCCACTAACTTTCCTTACGTGCGGGACCTTATCATCAACATAGTAAACCAGCTGGATGTCCGTCCTGATAGAGTGCAAATTGGCCTCCTCCAATATGCAGAGGACCCTAAGATTGAATTCTACCTGAACAGCTACAGCAGCAGGGAGGATGTGGTGAATAAAACCAACCAACTGTCACTGCTTGGAGGGTCTGTCCTTAACACTGGAAAAGCCTTGGACTATGCTTTCAAAAACATGTTCAAACCATCTACAGGGTCACGAAGGAGACAGGGCGTCCAACAAGTCTTGGTACTCATCACGGGTGGACCAACACAGGATTCAGTTAAAACTGTGGCTGATCAGATGGCTCTAGCGGGAGTGCTTACCTTCACTGTTGGTTCAGGGCAAGCTGATGTCAGTATGTTGAACAGCGTGGCCTTTGTTCCAGACCTGGCCTATCACGAGACCTACTTCTCAAATTTACCAGCCCTGTCAGAGCAAATGCTCCCTAAACTGACAATAGTGGTTGGGGACACTAGTACAGTTACAACATTCCCTGGAGAAATTGGTGAGTACATTTGTGATCTTATGTGAATTGTTTGTGTTTTAATTTTATAGACTTCTTACCACCAGGGCTAACATGTATTAGTAAAAAATCCAGACAGAATCTAATTTAAAATATCCACCATTTCTACTTGTTTTAGTTCATGCCATTTAAGTCTTTTTTTTTTTTTTTAAGTGTTTCACAATTTCTAACATACGTTAGAAAATGTGAAACACTTATCGCACCATAACCAAAAGACTTTTTAAAAGAGAATTAAAGCTACAAGAATGCATAATATGTTTTGTTTAAATGCAACAGTGAACTAAACTAATCCTGGACTACATGTTGCCTTGCTTGTGTTGTTAAAGGTCTGTCCTACCATATCAAGAGTGAGTTGTATACATGCAGCAATAGTTCAACATCAAATCGCATTAACCTGGTGTGATTGAGAGAAATTCAAATGGCTGCCCTTCCAGACAAGGGAACAAAAGCAAAAATTTAGAATTTCTGTGCCTGCATGTCAAAGCACTGATTGTGAACAGGTAGCTTGGAATATCTGTATGGAAGAGAAGTATGTAGATTATAGTAGAATGTTTATCTTTAATAGAATGTTTATTTGCAGTAGTTTTAACTAAAGTAGTAAGTAGTAGTAATAGAAAGAGTAAGAAAGACAGTACAGTGCAAAAATATTAGGAAAGGTGTACAAAGAATATGAACCAAAAAGCATCCTCAAATTTGTTTTAAAATTCATTCAAATAATTTCAATCACTTAAAGTCAAACCGATTGATGAGTAGGGCTGGGTATAACCAAGAAGTTGCCGATACGATATGTACCTCGATACGCAGGCCCCAGAACAATATGTATCTTGATACAGTGCACTTTCGATACAATATGATTCGATATGATATATGGCAAACTGATTCGATTCAGAAAAAATAAAAGCTTTCAGCCTCTTACTTAATGATCAACCCCATTTTCATGAAAAAAAATAAAATAAAATTAATGGGGCATTTACCTTCCAGTTATTGAAGATTAAAGAATACAATGAATTGTTTTTTGTTTAATGCATGCTTCTAACTAGAACAACACATACGACTTCAAAAAAGTGCTCAGTTGCATTGGTCATCACCATTCATAGCTTATACAAGCTCAACAATAACTTGAACAAAGGCACGCGCAGTTAAAAGGATCTCACAACAACTATTAAATCAGTGCTGTGATTTGAAAACCAAATGCTGCATTTATTTCATTTCACACAGAACCTTCATTAAACCTAGACGAATGCTGATATGGTCAACTTAATCAGTGACACTAGAAGCCCTAAGAATATTGCTTTTCAGCTAACATAACCATAGCAAAAATAGGAAGCTATTGAAAGCACTTAAAGATTTTTGTTTAGAAACAGAATTTAATTTGTTAACTATCCCAACACTGCCCTATGCTAAACATAAAAGGGAGAACATTACATTTTGTGTCACTATTTGGGTCTTTCAAATATTTATTATTATTATTATTATTATTATTATTATATTGTGTTACATGAGTATTATGTTTTGTTTTTTTTCAACAGTCACATCAGCCCCATCCGAAGACGTCAAAAGGGATGTTGTTTTACTCAATGATGGAACAACAACTGAGTCTGGAGGAGGGTCTGATGGGGATCCTGCTGATCAAAGCGTCCAGGGATGACTGAGGAAGGTTGCTCTGGTTTTCATCATGATCCTCCTCTTCATCATTAGGCTTGTGTACAAATGGGTTGTCTTCAATTCATTCTGTGTCTGCAAAGAGGAGTGGAAAATGGTATAAACATGATCACAAATACATGTAAATGAAAATATCTATCTATGAAAAAAGGCACAAATAAATAAGCCTTTTTTATCATTTATTTACTCTGATACTTATTAAATCTGAATTTTCTTATCTTTGTTTTCTTCTGTCAGACCAACACAAATTTTGTTTCCCGTTGGGGCTGAATAAAAGTATTACTGATTGTGACAGTTTAAGATTTGAAAGCTACCATCTGTAAGTTTATTTGATTTTCTCTTACCAGTTGGTGGGAGATATGCTGAAGACATATCTTACCACCAAATATGGAAAGTCAATAATGCATACAATTTCCTTCATAAGTAGACTCAATATGGAATGCTATTCATATGGTCTTTGAATTCTTATCAGTTATTTGACATTACATCCTTGCATGTATAATTAAGTAATGTGCACTCCACATATTAACTAAATAATACATTCCCTGTTCACACTAATCCATTATTTTAGAGGACTTCTCCAGATCATGTAATCAGAGCCAGTAGATTTGTATTGCTTGTTCAATCCAACATGCAAAGAACACTAATTTATGAAAGCAGTGGTCTTCCACCAAAGAGGGTTGAAACATGTAGCTGATATTGCTCTAATTTGTGGTAGCCTCTAATTAGAAAAGCGTAGTGTTCCTTTAAGCTCTGTGGGCTAGCTCCATCTTTAGCAAAACCAGTGCATTACAGACTTAAGTTTAAAACAAAAACGTGGATGGGACGAGTTGGGAGCGATTTATGAAATGACTGTGTGAGCAATCAGACAGAGATATTCCATTACTGAGACAGGACACTCCTTGAAGACTATAGAATAAATAGATACTTGTGCTAGTATATATAACACTTGAAGGTGAGTGAGTTAAAAAAATATTTGTGATCATAAAAGTTAAATTAAACAAACAGAACACTATAAAATGGTGAAAAATGATGAATCTATTTAGTTAAAGGTTCCATATTAGTCATATTATATTGCTATTTCCTGGTAAAAACATACCAGGAGTTTTGTTTAGTTTCATTCACACATGTTTTAACACAGAAGTCTTGCATATTTAGGCAGTTCTTCCCTCAAACAGAAAACGCTCTGATCCACCTTGTGATATCATGTGGTAATACAGGACATGCTCAACTGCTTTTAAACTCTGTACACCTTAACTTGAATCATTTAGATCATTTCAGCCCTGGAATGTCTCTAGTGCATTGTTTCTAGGTAAAAGGTAGCTGTTAACTGGAAAACAACCAAAGCATTACTCAAACGTGTGAATGAACTCCAGGTATGTTTTTGAGGAGGTAACAGCATTTTAACATGTTCACGAGAGTCAATTTTGCATGATATAGGACTTTTGAAACACTACACATGCGTTTCAGTAATTGCTATATCTGTTGTATCTGTCTTTATCTTGTCTATATTACGGCTATATTATTATAACAGTATTACAGAGTATTTGAACTCACCTGGTCAGGTTTGGAGGTGATTTTCTGCTCCAGTCGGTTCAGCAGAGACTCCACAGCCGACATGCGCCTGTTCAGGTCAGTGATCTGTGAGCAGACAGTTCATTATGGTTAAATGTAAAATCACGGTCAGGATTCCTAGTAGGCTTCAAAATCTATTGTTGTGTTGTTATGTAAGTTATTTTATATTAGCCACATTGAGAGACAAATTAATAAAGATATACCAAAGCAATTTAAAGGTCCCACATTAAGCTATTTTCTATTTTATAATGTTTCCTCATGCCTGATGCTTTGTTTCATTCACACATGTATAAAACTTCTCTCACCTTCCACCTTGTGATGTGATATAGTAATACAGGAAGGAAGTGCCCCACTGTGTTTTTAAACTCTCACACCTTCATCATTCCTTTAACTGGTTTTAGCTTGATTTTATTTTTATTCTATTTCTATTTATTTTATTTTTTTTATAATTTATTGGATTGTTTGCCTCCTTGTCTGTTTTTGTATGCTTTCTGTATGCTATTTTTGTGCTTTTTGTATTGTTCTTTGCTGCTTGTACAGCACTTTGTAAAAGTGCTATTTTTAAAAGTGCTTTTTAAATAATGATGTATTATTATTATTATTATTGATGCTATAGTGTCAAAATTGGTATCGGAACTGAAAGAGACGAGTGCAGAATGAAAACCTTTCTGTCATATGCAGCTAAACAGAACTGTTTTGAGCCTGGATTTAAACAGTCAAAGTAGAGGCCTGTCTCACATCTTCAGTAAGACTGTTCCAGGTTTTAGCTGCATGACTCTGAAACACTGACTCTTCGTGTTTAGTCCTGACTCTGGGCACCAGCAGGAGACCAGTCCCTGAGGTCCTCCAAGGTTCATGTGGCACTAACATGTCCAAGATATACTTTGGTGCTAGGCTATAGAGAGACTTGTACACAGGTAGAGCTGCTTTAAAGTCTATTCTCTGAACCACAGGAAGTCTGAGCACAGGACTTACAGCCTGATTTAAAAGTTTTAGAGAGATTTCTGTGAGCCAAGGACTATGACTTCTGTCTTGTCTGAGTTTAGCTGGAGAAGGTTATTTTGCATCCACACACTGATCTATTGGATGCAGTGACAGAGTGAGTTCACTGGTCCATAGTCCCCTGCTGCAGTGAGACATAGATCTGAGTGTCGTCTGCATAGTTGTGGTAGGACACATTATTGCTGTGTATTATCTGGCATAACGGCAACATTTAGAGACTGAACAAAAGGGGTACCAGGATCGACCCCTGGGGCACCCCACTGGACAGGGCCATGTGATCTGAGACACAGTTTCCAATTTCAACAAAGTACTTCCTGTCTTGAACAAGTTTAGTGCAGTACCAAAGTTTAATTTGTCTTACAGCTTATAAAATCTGTTTTTCATATTTACTTTCTTCATTCATGTCAATTTATTAATACCACGTACCTGGAGTTATGTTTTGTTTCATTGTTTTCATGTTTGAGTAACCCTTTATTATTATTTTATTATTCTAGTGAAGTGGACTGTACACTTCCTGTATTACTACATGACATCACAAGGTGGAACAGAGTGTTTTCTGGTTGAGAGAAGAATTTAGCCTATATATACATGAACACAACATGTACTGATGCAATAATTCATACCAAAGGAGGCCCAACCAAGTATTTAGTGCCTACAAATGAACATACTGTTCAGAAGCCTGATATTTTTATAAAAAATATAATGTTTTAAATTGATCTCATGTCATGTCATTTTGTGTTTTC